CTAATAAGTTAAAGTGTATCCACGATGATACGGAATAAATATGGCTGCAAGCTGACAGCACCGAAAAGCATCGGAAAATCCAATTGTAAGTACTGGATAACCGAGATCGCTCAACTTGAACGTAGCGTCAGCATAAAATAGCGTATAACGGCTAACAATTGCGTATTCGATACTGGCCTCAATGAGGGCACCGCTGGAACCCCTACCACGAATGAATCGGCATCCGTCCCTTTCCCCACGATTGCATGGCCGCTAGCGTTTTCACGATGACCAAGTAGAACGGTTTTGTGAGATCTCCAGTCGGGCCGAACGTGTTCTGTCGAACTATCTCTCTGACGGCTTTGAGAGAGTTTTCCGTACCCTGAAGAATACGTACGTACTTGGCGCAGTTAGTAACTTGAGCCAGAGTGGGAAAACCTTGGGATGGCTCTATAATATCCGAAGCGCGTCGCAGGTTACTCAGGATGAGCATTGGAGGTATTGAGCACTCATCTTGCTGCAGAATAAATCGTTTCATCTCGGCGGTAATTACAGCTCTGTGTGGCCCCTCGCACTGCGCGTTTCGTCGCGGATGTGTTCTATACCATTGTAGTATACGTGCCACCGCTTAGCCGCAGCACAGCCCCAAATTTTCCACAAGTACTTGCACTTTCCTTCGGTCTTAGTAGTACAGCTAATGCAGCCTAATCTCTTCTCCGTCATAATGTGTTCACCTCCTTCGCACATTTGACACTGACCAGCTGGGTCGGTATGGATCACTCGAAAACAGCAAAATTCCACAGACTTAAATTCCGACACAAATTGGGGCGAGTCGAACTCACCCAGCGTTTACCAATTATACACGATCCGTATCATCGTGGATCCTTCACTAAACGCAAGATACATTCCAAACTTATCCATGACACATACAAAGCTGTTGCCACTTTCATCTGTCTCAATACATTTTCTTACATATTCCTCTTCAACTTCCTCACCCTTCAAAAGCTTGGAGAATGCTGGGACAGCAGTTGCATTGGCACGCACTGTGTTGCCGGTCTGCAACTCCCCCAAACCCATCGTGACAGTCCGATAAAGAGAAATATGAAAGTGATACGCCTAACACTTGACATTTGAATGAACACACACATTTTTTTAGGAGTTCATCGGACTTGATACGTCCGATTGGGTGGTTTCGGTGACTCACCTACACCTACATTGTCCTATTGACTAAATATTCAATTATTATTAGCTGTGATTCGCTAAAATTAAATGCTGGTAGTTAATTGGCATTTTTTCACATACAAAGTTCAAGTATGGTCCGATAATCTACTAGTAACACATTCATCCATATAACTGGCATTACTGTTAATTACATTTTTGGCCTGTGCACTTCGACCATCCTACTGTGCACTTCATCAGTATGCTCTCTGCAATCCAACCGCTCTCCTGGTGTTTCTGTTCATATTTTTTTATTTATGGTAGTGTGATAGCACAGATGCTAATTTGTAGAAACAGGCTAGCTAAAACCTCGAGGGCCGTTTACACTATATCTATGGTCTGGAATCGGACCTTGATCCGATTGTATCCTTTTGTGTCTACACTAATCACAATTGGGACTAAATAAATTCTTGTCTAGACCCATGAAATATGTAACCTCACAATTGGTTATCACAATTGCTGCTTCGCCGAACCTTCTGTCTGCTCGTTCGTCTGCTCTCTCGTAGACAGGATCTGACAAGAAAGAACTTTGACAGAATTTATTGGTCGTAATTTAACTTTTGTATTACGACCAATAAATTCTGTCAAAGTTCTTTCTTGTCAGAACAAATCTGAAAAGAAGACGAGAGACTGGCGAGGAGAGAGAAGGCGACGGCAAGCCGCTTTTTCATCCAATGAAAAAAGAGCGCTTTGGTCTCTGATCGTCTTTCATCCAATGAACAGCGAGCGCTTTGGTCTCTGATCTCATTTCTCCAGTACCGCTCGATCAAGCTCAAACTCAAAGCGCTGATGCAAGTTAGTCGAGTCTTTGACGACGACTTTCGTCGATTTCGTGCGTCCCGCATGGCCGTCGCCCCTGTGGCGTCCTACCAGGTCCTTACTAAGACCAAAACTAGAACGGAACCCGTGGACGAGATCCACCTCGATGTGATCCAGTGCTGCACTCTGTGCGGGGTCCTTGTGCACCAGAACACGGCCAAGATACTGTGTCAAAGCTGTCGTCGCCAGCGCCAGAACAGTCTGGAAGACATCCGGCCTGCGTCTCCGATGGCTGGCACGTCCAATACACCCCCTCACATCAATAATGACGGTGGTGTGCTTTCGCGCTCGACGGTGGATGGCGAGACGGAAGCTATAGACGACGATTTCCGGACGAGCTCGATGTTCCGCGCCAATGAGGACGCGGATTCCTTCCGCAACATGGAGGTACTGACGTGCTTCCGATCAGAAGTTCGTCGAGGACTGCGACTACTGTCGAAGGCGGCGACTGCCGAGAAGTGGCACATGTGCTGGGCGATCCTCTTGTCGATGTGCCTGATACCGCTGATTCTGACGCTCATGATGGTGGCTAGCGTGAGTTTCCTCGTGCTATCCACGTGGGTGGTCATCGCCACCGCCATTACGTACCCTCTAGCGTACATTAACCCTAGACTGTACAACTACGCCATGAACTCGTGAAGTGAACGGTACTCGGTCAACTGGAGGCCCACAGCTTGGAAATATAAAGGCTCGTGGTTCCTCTTGTTAATATGGTGGCTTTTTTTGTTTAAATTCATGTACTTCTGCTCTCTGTTGCGATGATTACAATGTAGTCTGTTCTCATGTTGTTGCTTTCTTTCCCTGAATGAGAGCCCGGGTTAAGTTGAAATGCTATACTGGGGCCCACTACATTTGCAAAAGCAAAAAATCTCTGTTCCAGCATCCCCAGCGACTTTAATAATGGCGCAGGCGTATTAACACTCTTGAGCGGTTCGTTTGAAGAAACAGACAGGAATCTACATCGACGTCTGCACGTATTTCTTGAAATTCAAATAACTTTGTGGCGTTGTTCAAGTTTTGATAGTTTTTCGCGTATTAAACATCTTTTGTGTTGTGCATGCATCTTTGGTGCGATCTCGTACAGACATTTGCTTTGTCCGTGTGATTCGGAAGTCGAACAGGTTGAAGTGGATGTGGTTTATTTTGCGACCATAATACGTGTAGTGTTCTGTCCAGCAACTCGCACTGTTCACGAAAAGCAGGAAGCACCAGAAACCAAGAGTCTCAACTCAAAAATACAAGTGATGCGTTGACGGTCAACACTTGTTTTCATGTTGGCATTCTCCATGTTTCTCAAGATTTGCACGCTACTTGGGTTTATGCCAGTAGGGTAACTTCAATCCATAGTTTTGGTAGCTACATTCGCAGAGAAGTCCACTCTCACAAACGCACATCACTTCACAAAATCCCGACCAAGAGTAATACAGCAGAATCATGAACTCATCCGTCAGCATGAAGCCCCATACAACTACCATGGATTCGCAGCAAAAACTCACGCCAACGCCGTCCGACGATGGAATTTTCAGCAAGTTTCGACTAAGTTGTTGCACTGCGAAATCTTTCAAGCGAGTGGGCGTCCTGCTCGCCTTTCACCTACTGAATGCCTTCGTAGCCATCAGTGGCGTCATTTCCGTGGCAATGCTGCTCGCTAGCATGGTTCTTATGCCGCTTTGGGCCGTAGCATTGCTACTGATGGCACTCGCCATGTTCATGATCCACGTCGTTCACCAAATTCCTCAGAAGTGTCTCATGTACTTCGGGTATGTGGTTCTGGTAGCGCTTTATATTGCTTCCCTGTCCATCTACTGGTATATAACAGTCAGTCCCTACGCGCTTTTTGCCGCTGGAGCCGTCGGTGTGGGCCTCTTCTTCTTGTCATCCGCCACAATGAGGCTTCTAGTGAAACTCGACGTCCAACTGGCGAATTTCATCTCAACAGACAAAGACGTCACTCTTCAGCCAGATGATTGCGCGTATCGCTTCAAGCTTTCCAAAGCAACCAACCCCAGCGCTCTCTTGCCGCACATTCGCATGACGCGGCAGGTGTGGCTAGCTGTCATGTACTTTGCCTCGCTGAAGATCGCTGCGGGGGTGTTGAGTACAGCTGTGATTGTACTCACTGTGGTTCTGCCAATGTTGGCGTTTTTCAGTGGATTGCTATTCGGTAGCCAAGTCACCGTTGGTGACAACCCCATCGCTTACATTGGCTTGATCATCGCGATTTGGTTGATTGGTGCCATCGGAGTGCCCATTGTGGCAGTGCTGTCTGTGAGACTTACAACACGGGTTTGTGGTGCTGAACAAAACGAAGAGGAAGTTGAGATTGAAGCAGCTTTCCCGCTAACTCCTGAGCCGGAGTCAAGCACGACAAGCTTTGCAGGGCTTGCTGGAACAAATCCTTCTGCAGTTGGTTGACATGTGAGTATCGTCGACGCGTAAAACACTTGCGACGGGGTCCTTGGGTATCGGCGAGCAACAGGAACAACGAGGACAAGGCCGCCCCCTTATGATCACTTTGTAAAAACTTTTTGGCGCGTGGCTTAGCGCAACTTGAAGTTGTTTTTTTTTAATGGTCGCAAAAACCCATCAAACAATGTGGGTTTTGAAAAACTGTATCCATCCAGTTGTGTCCAGTTATGGGTGAATTGACAGAATTTATTGGTCGTAACTTGGAATTTGTATTACGACCAATAAATTCTGTCAATTCATCCACAACTGGATGAATACCTTTTCAAAAACCCACCTCTTTCGATGGGTTTAATAAATGTAACACCTTTTTATTCAAGTGTTTAATTGCTTTTTATAAAAAGCGTTTTTTTAGCGTTTATAAAAGTGCTTTTATCTCTTTTTTATTGGTTGAAACGCTGATCCAGGGATGCTCATCAATGGACCGGCTGAGTGGAGCGAGGCGCTGATCCCAACCGGCATTAAAGGCAACGTGCTGCACGATGGTATTCATGTTTTCGCCTACTATGGTCTATATCTCCTGTATCTAAAGCTACTTTACTTACAAGTCGTTGTTGCTGGTCGGTCCCGTTCGAAGGATACAACCCGAGACTGCAGGCGGCGGCGATGCCGGTTGGCCCGACTGTAGTCATCACGTGCTATGCAGACACGGACAAGTCTCCAGGATTTGGACGAGGCGTATTGGATAAACCAGCAGATACTTTGATTTTACATGAAGACGACTCGAACGGTGTGCGTGGCTGGAAACCTGTTGAGGAGAAGAGGGTATAATGCTCAACCTGTGTATGACTTTCTAGGATCGATATCGGCTAGTTGCTTGGTCTTCCGGCTCAACTGAGTCAAGCCTGCTCGCTATTGCGTCGACGACTCAAGTGGAAATTTGGGAAGTCACCAAAGAAAGGTAAGTACTGATGACCCGACTCTGACTGGCAAACCTCATTTTTCAATACTCTGTTTCATTTTTGTTGCTCTTCCAGTGGCATCTCGGCATCACTGAGGGGATCTGTAGAGATTGATCGCCCACAAGGGTTGGCTTGGAGCCCGTGCAGCAATTTTCTACTGGTCAACGACGGCTAGTACCGTTTTCGTGTGCCAAGTGAACTGTACTAAGTGTACTCTTCCACCTTATGCATTGTAGGCCTACGCTAAGACGGATATCTTGCTTATCACCATTATGGGGTCATCGCTTTTGTGGCGGGCGATTCACACAGATTGCAGTACACGGCATGCGTGGAATGCATGCTCATGGAGTCCTTGCGGGCTTCAAGTATCGTTGTGTGTGGACAAGCTTTTGGTAGATCATTTCTATTCGGCTGACAGTAGTTTTGCCTTTACAGAGCGCAGAATCACATACTTCATTGCTTCAGTTGGACGAACGTCGACGCATTACTCTTAGAACCTCCTATGCATGTCCAGATCGACGCGAGCAGTTCCTTGAAAGGCACCAATGGACTTCAGTTGGACGTTGAGAATGCATCTGTTGGTCCCATTGCTGCAATTGCACGTGTATCTCCAACTATTTGCATTATCGCCACGGATACCAAATTGATTCTTGAAGATATCTCCCGAGCAGCTCCAACGTTGAACTCGATGCTGAAAAACACAATTCCGATTGAAACGCCGTCGGTATCAAATTTGGTGCTGCAACCGGGAAGCTCAACCGATATTCAAGAGCAAATAGCGTCTTCGTCCAGCGATATCATCGACTTGACATCGATGCGCATCTCAAGCAGCTCCCAGAGTTCACTGCAAATATTGAATCGCACTGAGGTATGACGTTGGCTAAGAGACTGCATTATTCCCTTGCAGCGTGATGATTAATATTGTGAATGGTATCTCCCTCATCAGGATACCAGAATTGCCCAACGAGCGAAACCTCGTTCCCACTTGCTGATTGTCGAATACAAAGCACAGCAGTGGAACGTCATTTCTACCCTCGATCTGCCGCACTTGACCTCTCCCGACATCCTCGTTGTCCAGGTTCGTCGCAATTCTCCAGCGTGCTCAGCAATTCGTTCTCACGCACATATTTTGTTAAGCAGGACATGCGGGTTATCGTTGGAAGCACCTTGTCGCCGCATTTAATGGTTACACATTTGGATGTTTCTGAACGCATGCAGTGGACGGCCTCGCTATCCGGTGAAATGGTATATCATGGCTCCACCTCTGATGTTAGTCGTGTCATAACAACTTACAGAGTGCTTGTTTCCACCAGGAACTTCCACCGACACATGTGTGTAGAGGAATCTACCTTGGAGAGAGGTCTCCCTTTGCTGAAGTCGCGTCGATCGAGAAACGCAAGCGCGCTATGTTTTTCCACGCTGCTGCAAATAACGAGCCGCAGCCAATTTACCTGTCCAAGTTCAAGGTGCCTCGCCGTGCTCGACCAACATTCAGTCCCAAGTCAACCAGTAATGAGCAGGAAGCGCCAGTAGCTCCTGATAAGACGCCGAGGAGCTCTGAGGACGAGAACGGCAACAGCGGTGAGAGCAAAGACCTGTTGGAGCTGATCCTCGCGGAGATGATGGCCATGCAGACGCAGTTGAACGCTCGCTTCGACAACGTGGACAAGAAGCTGCAGCAGTTGGCAGTGCGGGTCGAGCAACTGGAGCATAATGGTGCCAAGTAATCGTCTAGCAGCAACAATGTAGCCATTTTACCATCATTCTTCATTGCATACAAACTTCAAGTCGAAGAAACGGTTCCCTGTGATTCTCGATAATTCTTTGTGTGCGCTTGGTGTGGTTCACGCCGAACCGCAGGGTGGATCGTCAGAATCCAATCCGAATCGAAACCAACAGCAAGCAAGAAGACACCAAGACACACATGGGCCGTTCCCGTTCCTCTCGTCCTGCCGCTCGCCCGGCCCCTCGCCGCGCTCCGGCCCCAGCCCAGCCGCGTCGCCCCGCACCCGCACCCGCCCGCACACAGGCTGCTCCCCCTCCGGCCCAGCAGAGCTCCAGCAGTGGCGGCGGTATGATGAGCGGCCTCATGGGCACGGTGGCCCAGGGCATGGCTTTCGGCACGGGCAGCGCCATTGCTCACCGCGCCGTGGGCGCTGTTGCTGGCTCGTTCTCGGGCGGCTCGGATGCTCCGCAGCAGCAGGAGGCTGCTCCGGCTTCTCAGGACTATCAGGCCACGCAGCCCCCGCAGCAGGACCACTGCGGTCCTGACCAGAAGGCCTTCCTCGAGTGCCTCAACAGCAACAGCAACGACATCAGCTCCTGCCAGTTCTACCTAGACCAGTTCAAGCAGTGCCAGATGCAGCAGCAGAACACCTTCATGTAGACAAACCGATCTGCTAAGCGCTTTTTGACGAAGATGCGAGCGTGACACCACCGTACGCGGAATATCGACGAGTCCTTTTCAGAATGGATGCGTGGGTAATTTTTGCAGTGTGAAATAGCGGCGAGGTAATGCGAGCACCAGACAGCAACACAAATAAATAAACTGCATGTGCAACATGCACGGGTTTACAATTACCTATCCTATTCTACTGTAGGTTCTCACTCGTTTGTTGGCGATACTGTAGATTACCGTGATAGTTTTAGATGGCCGGAGCAGACTCGGTTGCGAGTCCCCTCATCGCCTGGCCATGTTTGTTCCCGCTTAACGTTGTCCCTGCATGTTACGGACTGCTTGCAATAACGAGTGTATCGTCAATGATGGTGTCTTCATTAAATCGTGCGTCAGCACAAGAGGCCCTGTTTAAATCAAGCCCGTTGTGTCCTGGATGAAGTCTCACGCAAAGCGTGGGTGTCAAACCCACCTTGAACGTTCGTCAATACTCACAAACGATATTGTTCATCAGGCGTGAGAAGCACCATGAAACACTGAACGTCTACATGTACTACCAAGGGAACACCTTAGCACTACGGTTCCATTACCCGACGCCGAAGGTTCAACACGAAGACAGCAACAATGTCGTTTTTTTTTTATTCAAATGACGCAACCATCCGTCACTACGCAATCACTGCGCGGATGTTGGGCATCGACATTAAAGGAGTGCGGAGAAGCCGCATTGGTGCCGCGTCCATTTCTCCATGCTGTCTCGCCATAGTATAGTCCATACACATTGTTCTCGACAACTTGCGTGCGGCTAAGGCAGGCAACGGCCTCTTGCTAGCAATTCTCCGTCTAACCGCAAGGCACCTTCCTGGCCAATTCGGTCTGATTCCGTCTCACGGGTCGGGTTTCGCTAGCCCAGTTCAAGTGCCCATTTTGTCGTGCTCAAAAGGGAGTTCAATTTGCCCATTCTAGATGATGATTCCCAGCGACTTATGCAGTGCTGCAACTTGTGCAGCGCTGATCTTAGTTCCTGCTGTGTGAATTCAAGATCGCTCTCAAGCTCTCCGCATACAGGATATCGTACTATAGCATGAAAAATAAGCATATAGAGCAAGAAAACGAACTTCGGATTGCAGGTAAAGCCTCATTAACTACACCATCACAGCCCGCTACAACGCAGTAGTATTGTACGCGCTTGAATCGCAGGATCATGTGTAGAGAGTTTAGCGAGGCGCCATATCAACAACTCGCAACAACTTGGTGCATGCAGAGCTTCCCAAAATATGGGCTTCAAGTCCATCAAACAGACCATCACTCCTACTCCACCGGAAAAACCTCGGATAAAATTGAACCTCGCTTTCACAGTAGGATTGTATGGAACATACTGAATAGCATATATTATGAGGGGGAGCGGGCTTCTCTGCTCCACCCGTTTGTGGGCCTTTTCTCTGTTTTGGTCTCCCCCACCCTTCGCGTTTCCTTTACACGGTTGGTTCCCGAGCTTGAGCGCCATTTCCTCTTTTGGATCCAGCTAGTCCGAAAGGGAGAAGCCCGAGAGAACCCAACACCAACCCGCCGCTAACCCCCCCACTCCAGCAGCAACCATGGTACGGCAAATAATGACACAGACAGCACAGCAAAAAAAAAGAAAGATACAGGAGGCTAATGCGATCTTTTCCCCCTCCTCCTTATGACTTTATCAGGTGAACTTCACGGTCGAGCAGATGCGTGAGATCATGGACTACACGAAGAACATTCGTAACATGTCCGTGATTGCCCACGTCGATCACGGTAAGTCGACGCTGACCGACTCGTTGGTGTCCAAGGCCGGTATTATCTCGGCCAAGCACGCCGGTGAGGCCCGTTTCACGGACACTCGTGCTGACGAGCAGGAGCGTTGCATTACCATCAAGTCGACCGGTATCTCGATGTTCTTCGAGTACGACATGGACGCTGGTGAGCAGGCCACTGCCGCCGCTATCGCCAAGGAGTCGGAGGAGGCCGCTGCTGGCCAGGAGGTTGTGATTAACAAGAACTCGTACCTGATCAACCTGATCGACTCGCCTGGTCACGTTGACTTCTCGTCCGAAGTGACGGCTGCTCTGCGTGTGACGGACGGTGCTCTGGTCGTGGTGGACTGCATTGAAGGTGTCTGCGTGCAGACCGAGACGGTGCTGCGTCAGTCGATCGGTGAGCGCGTCAAGCCCGTGCTTATGGTGAACAAGGTGGACCGTGCTCTTCTGGAGCTGCACCTTGAGCCCGAGGACTGCTACCAGTCGTTCACGCGTGCTATTGAGACCGTGAACGTGGTCATTGCCACCTACTTCGACGAGAAGCTGGGTGACGTCCAGGTGTACCCCGAGAAGGGTACGGTCGCCTTCGGTTCGGGTCTTCACCAATGGGGTTTCACCCTTAAGAAGTTCGCTCGTCTCTACTCGAAGAAGTTTGGTATTGCTGAGGAGAAAATGATGCAGAAGCTGTGGGGCGACTGGTACTTCGACGCCGCCAACAAGAAGTGGACGAGCAAGAACAATGCCGAGGGCTCGCTCAAGCGTGCTTTCTGCCAGTTCATCATGGACCCCATCATCAAGATGTTCGACGCCATCATGAACGACAAGAAGGCCAAGTACGAGAAGATGATGAAGGCCGTGGGCGTGGAGCTCAAGTCGGACGAGAAGGACCTGACCGGCAAACCTCTGCTCAAGCGTGTCATGCAGCGCTGGCTGCCGGCCGCCGACGCCGTCCTGGAGATGATTGTCGTGCACCTGCCGTCCCCCGTGACGGCCCAGCGTTACCGTGTGGACACTCTGTACGAGGGCCCCCAGGACGACGAGTGTGCCGAGGCCATTCGCAAGTGCGACGTCAATGGTCCTCTGGTCATGTACGTGTCTAAGATGGTGCCGACCTCGGACAAGGGCCGTTTCTACGCCTTCGGCCGTGTGTTCGCCGGTAAGATCGCCACGGGCCAGAAGGTCCGCATGCTTGGCCCCAACTACGTGCCCGGCAAGAAGACCGACCTGTGGGTCAAGAACATTCAGCGTACGGTCATTATGATGGGCCGCTACGTCGAGCAGACCCCCGACATTCCGGCCGGTAACACGTGCGCTCTGGTCGGTGTGGACCAGTACCTGCTCAAGTCTGGTACCATCACCACGTCCGAGACGGGCCACACTATCCGTACCATGAAGTTCTCCGTGTCGCCCGTTGTGCGTGTGGCCGTTGAGCCCAAGACCGCTTCGGACCTGCCCAAGCTTGTGGAAGGTATGAAGCGTCTGTCCAAGTCTGACCCCATGGTCCTGTGTTACACGGAGGAGTCGGGTGAGCACATTATCGCCGGTGCCGGTGAGCTCCACCTTGAGATCTGTCTGAAGGATCTGCAGGAGGAGTTCATGGGCACGGAGGTCAAGATCTCGGAGCCTGTTGTGTCGTACCGTGAGACGATCACGGGCAACTCGTCCAAGACGTGTCTGTCCAAGTCGCCTAACAAGCACAACCGTCTGTTCTGCGAAGCCTCTCCTCTGGGCGACGAGCTGACGGACGAGATTGAGGAGGAAAAGGAGGAGGTCTCCCCCCGTTACGACTTCAAGCTTCGTGCTCGTTACCTGGCCGACAACCACAACTGGGATGTGACTGATGCTCGTAAGATCTGGGGCTACGGCCCGGACGGCACGGGTGCCAACGTGTTCGTGGACGCCACCAAGGGTGTGTCGTACCTGAACGAAATCAAGGAGTCGGTGCTTGGCGGCTTCAACTGGGCCACCAAGGACGGTGTGCTTTGCGAGGAGGTCGTGCGTGGCATGCGTGTCAACCTTCTGGATGTGGTGCTCCACGCTGATGCTATTCACCGTGGTATGGGCCAGATCCTGCCCACCACCCGTCGTGTGGTGTACGCTTGCCAGCTGGTGTCGGAGCCTGCTCTGATGGAGCCCGTCTTCCTTGCCGACATCCAGGTGCCCCAGGACGCCGTTGGCGGCGTGTACGGTGTGCTGACCCGTCGTCGTGGTCACGTGTTCGCCGAGGAGCAGCGCCCCGGTACCCCCATGATGCAGCTGAAGGCTTACCTGCCTGTCAACGAGTCGTTCGGTTTCACCGCTGACCTGCGTCAGGCTACGGGTGGCAAGGCCTTCCCCCAGTGCGTGTTCGACCACTACCAGGTTATTGGCGGTGACCCGACCGACGTCGGCAACATGTCCGGCAAGCTTGTTAACGGCGTGCGTGTCCGCAAGGGTCTGTCCCCGGATGTGCCTCCTCTCGACCGTTTCTACGACCGTCTGTAAGGCGTCTAGCTCGAGCAAAATCTTCTGGCGTGGTGCGGCCCTGTGCCTTCGGCGCGGGCGAGTCTCATGAGTGTAGATTTGTTTCGGCCTTCTGACTCGGTTTAACATCGTCGTTGAATGAAGATGCCTCTTTTTCTATATAGCCGCAGTGTTTAAATTGTTCTTGTTGTTTTGATAGCTAGGTTTTGCGTCTTACCCGATCAGTGCAATTGAACATGCAAGAACGCTAAGTTGTTGCTGACGAGCTCGTAAGACTGGGTGTTGGAGGAGACCAGTTCGAAAAGACCGTACTCGGAAGTGTGTTGGAAGCTGTTTTTCTTCAGCGAGGACGCCACCTCCACCAGCAAGATTTGGCGCCGTCGGAGGCTGGATGATTCCCTGTTGATGAAGATGCACTCGACGAAGGATTTCACGACATCTTCTCAGCTCGTGAGGATATCCACTGTGGCGTTATCTTCAGGGTAGCGGTGTGTGACGGACGATTCGAGTATTCGCCGATGAGGTGTGGCTGTAGTTGAAGTGCAACTAGCCATCGAGCTTGTTGTATGCAGCTGCCACTGAAGGCACTGACCGCCAGCATGAGCAATGCTATCGCCTTCAGCAAAGCGAAAGCCGATTTCGCCACTAGCTACTTGAAAACATTACTTTAACGTTCTCCACATATAGTGATCCCATCAAGCATTCCGTCACGCATTCACACCATTTTAAAAATACTAATACCTGGTGCATGTTTTTTTACATGTTAGTTCTGGGCAGTAGATTCGGTATTAATCGTCAAGTTGGAGTTCGCGTGCTGCAAGCGAAACCGCATAAATCTAGTTCACCGTTCACACAGTCCGAGATCAAAGAGGAAAGCTACGTTAGTCCTCCAGAGATGATCCATCAGCATTGCACCGAAAACGACAGGTACTTGAAGTGAAAAAAGGTGACGTAAACCGGATATTTTCCGGTGAAGAGGCTTCACCAATGACTACCAACAACCTACACCATTGTAGGCTACATTGCTTCGAATCCTATAGACTTCCAGCAACAATTAAAAATGCTTGTTGCAACGTCCGTTCACCAGTACACTTCAGTGCATTGCTTACCAACGAATCGCTGGCAACGATAGAAAACGAAGGTCTCCACATCGTTGATGAGCTGCAGCCTAGCGAAATAGAACTTCAACCTGTTGCTCGCACCATCATTTCTGACGTAAACCCGGGCGCTTACAAATTGGAGACTGCACTGGAATGAACGTGCGTGAAGCCGGTCCTAAGCTGCTGCCCGCAGTCCTGGTGCCTGCATGAAAAAGGATTTGTCCCGTCGCAATTGTAAACGGCAGCGCTTACGAAATGGACTGGAATCGCCCAAGACGTGTCTTCCAAGCTGCAGGCGGTTGAAGTTTCTTGTCTTTTACCACAGCGAGTCCCTCGTTGACGTCACTCGAACTGCTTTCTAAGCTTGTCAAACGAGCACTTCAACACTTCAATACAGTGGAAGACCTGATGCCGGCGTGGTTGAAGCTGTACAGTGCATTGACGCACTCCTATTAGGACTGCATGGTGCAGTTCATTCTGCGTTTTGCCAGCTCACCAGCACCTTACCAGACCTCTAACCTTCACCATGCAGCGCCAGATCCTGCGTCAAGCTCCTCGCGTCAAGGCCGGTGCCTTCGCCATGAAATCGGCCGCCACAGCCGCCAAGGCCTCACCGATAATTCTATCCCGCCACTTCTCGACCCCCGTTCCGGTTAAGCAGACTAACCTGCTGATCAACAACGAATTCGTGCCGTCCATCACTGGAAAGACCTTCGAGACGTTCAATCCCGCTACAGAGGAGAAGATCGCCGACGTTGCTGAGGCTGGAACCGCGGACATCGACGCCGCTGTGGCTGCTGCCCGCACGGCCTTCGAGGGCCCGTGGCGCACCATGCCCGCGTCGGAACGTGGCCGTCTCATCAACAAGCTCGCGGATCTCATCGAAGAGAACATTGACGAGCTTGCTGCTCTTGAAGCGCTCGACAACGGCAAGCCGTGCTCAGAGGCCAAGGCTGCTGACCTGGGACTCGTGCTCAATGTCTACCGCTACTACGCAGGGTGGCCCGACAAGATCCACGGTTCCGTGATCCCCATCAACGGCCCCTACCTCTGCTACAACAAGGCCGAGCCTGTCGGTGTCTGCGCTCAGATTATCCCATGGAACTTCCCGCTGGTAATGATGGCGTGGAAGCTGGGCCCCGCTCTGGCTGCTGGTAACACTATTGTGCTGAAGCCTGCTGAGCAGACTCCTCTGTCTGCTCTACGTGTCGGTGAGCTGATCGTGGAGGCTGGTTTCCCCAAGGGTGTGATCAACATCGTACCCGGCGTGGGCCCCACCGCTGGTCGCCACTTGGCGCAGCACCCGGATGTCGACAAGGTTGCCTTCACGGGCTCCACTGAGGTTGGCTACCAGATCATGCGCACGTCGCACGTGAGCAACCTCAAGCGTATCACTCTGGAGCTCGGCGGCAAGTCTGCCAACATCATCCTCGACGATGCCGACATTGACCTCGCCATTCGGCAGTCACAGCTTGGTCTGTTCCTGAACCAGGGCCAGTGCTGCATCGCTGGCACCCGTGTGTACGTCCAGGAGGGTATCTACGATGAGTTCGTGCGCCGCACTGTTGAGGCCGCCAACGCTCGTGTGGTCGGTGACCCGTTCGACCCCAAGACGAACCAGGGCTCGCAGATTGACGAGACCCAGTTCGAGAAGATCCTGGGTTACATTGAGGAGGGCAAGAAGGAGGGTGCCAAATTGTTGGCTGGTGGCAAGCGGCACGGCAACAAGGGCTGGTTCATTGAGCCCACCGTGTTTGCCGATGTGACTGACGACATGTCCATTGCTCGTGAGGAGATCTTCGGCCCCGTCATGTCCATTCTCAAGTTTAAGACCATCGACGAGGTCATTGAGCGCGCTAACGACTCCGTCTACGGTCTGGGTGCTGGTGTGGTGACGAGCAACCTCGACAACGCCATCAAGATCTCCAACGGCATCCGCACGGGTACGGTGTACGTCAACAGCTACGACGTGTTCGACGGCGCTGCTCCGTTCGGTGGCTTTAAGGACTCCGGTATCGGTCGCGAGAACGGTGAGTTGGGCTTGCGCAACTACCTGGAGCACAAGACGGTGATCATCAAGCGCCCGGAGGACTCGATGCCTTAAGTTGTTGCTATCGTGTTGAAAGTGTAATCGTATCCTTTTGGTTTGAATGGCCAAAGCAAGTAAGCAGAGCTAATGAAAGTGATGCACGTCTTCATCAATTCCTGAGGTTCGTTGAAAGTATTAGTAGTATTAATACAGTATTGTATTTGGAGTGAATATTGTAGAAATGCAAACAGTAGCAAATACTACAGCAGTAATTTTCCTTCTCTACGTAGTACTAATATTTCTAGTAGTACTTTTATGAGATAAATAGTACTGACTATCAGGTCTGATTCTGAATATTTCCCAGTTTTCAAGTATAAATCTGATAATTCTCAGAGTCTGACCGGATCTGATTTGGCAGCCATCAACCCTATATGGATTACCATTTGGATTGGTTAAACGCAATCTATTTTTGGCCAACAAATTCGTGCCAAATCCCTCTTTCTTATGACGTCGTCGTCAGCACCGAAGCACGAAGCACAGGTGAAGTCGCTCTACGTCACGATCTCTGCGGGACAGCGCACGCTTACAGGTTCATGTACAATCGAATGGCGAATGGCCGAGCCAGCGCGCGCGAATCCCTCTTCTCGGGAGCCTCCTCGCGATCTCAGGTAGTGACTATTAGCTTCGTACGGATCGCTCTCGATAGAGGGAGCTGACGGGTTTTGTATTACTGCAGGCGGGAGGAAATGTAGACAACGGAGAGCAGGCCAAACGGCTGCTTGAGGAGCAAAACGATGAGCAGATCAGTCACTTGTCGCTGCAGATCACGCAGCTGAAGCAGGTTGGGAGCTGCACCAAAGTTTCTACTTTCGCTTGCTGGTCTTGCTCACCGCGTTGTTGTTTTGTCTTGTTTCAGCTGTCGGGTAATATTCATGCGGAGGTCGTGGACCAAAACCGCTTCTTGGACAGCATGGTACGCGTCGCTAGTGTGATGTTCGCGTGCTGCTGGTCTTGGCTAACCGTGGGTTTGCATGTTGCAGGGCAAGGAATTTGACAACACGGAAGGTCTGTTAGGCGGCACAATGAAGCGACTTGGCGTGATGATGGAGCAAGGCGGCAGCAAGCACATGCTGTATCTTATCATGTTCGTCGTGGTGGTGTTTGTGCTGCTGTACTTTACCATCCGATCTCATTAGAGCCTGGTAATCAAACGCGATCCACTTTTCCCTCTTATAAATTTGTCAGTAGAGTTTCACTTGAAGCTGGTTGGAAAAGTCACTTGGATTTTTTCGCAACCCATTTGAATTTACCGGTATACCGGACCTGTCCTTACTCAATGCAAGTCAAGAAAATCTTCTCAAACCTTCGAGCCGACGTGGTAACGATCACAAAGTTGGGAAAGCTTGTCGAGCGCAACAGGAGCCACAGACATGGGCAACTTCCTCGCCACGCCGATCACCGACAAGGATACTGATGGAGGCGAGGGAAACGGCCTCTCGTTCGGCTTGGCCACCATGCAGGGCTGGCGCACGGGTATGGAGGACGCGCACGTGGCTCAGATCAACCCTGAAGGGCTGCCCCAGGGCTGCTCGCTCTTCGCAGTGTTCGACGGCCACGGTGGACGTCTAGCGGCGGATCTGGCAGCCGAGGGGATTGCGAAAGAGTTGTCTGCTACTATGAAAAACGGCGTGTTCCCGAACGGCAAGGCTGATGACGCCGACCCTGCCAAGATCGGCAAAGCAATGCGCGACGCCTTTATGAACCTGGACCAGAATATCCGCAAAACGTTCGATGAGAGCTACGGCTCGGACCAAAGCGGCTGCACCGCTATCGCTGCTCTTGTTACCCCCACACACATCATCGTGGCCAACTCGGGCGACTCACGCAGCGTCATGGCCAAGAACGGCCGCACAGTCGAGATGTCCTTTGACCACAAGCCCATCAATGTACGACTAAGTAGACACATATCAGAGTTAGATAGTGAGCTGATGGTTTGCTGGGGTTGCTGCAGGCGGGAGAACGCAAACGTATCCAGGACGCTGGTGGGCTGGTGCGCAGCAACCGCGTGAATGGAGATCTGGCGGTGTCGCGAGCTCTTGGCGACTTTTCCTACAAGGCTCGCGCGGATTTACCGGCGGAGCAGCAGCAGGTGTCTGCGGAACCAGATATTGAAGTGCAGAAGATTGACAAGACGGAGGAGTTTTTGGTGCTCGCGTGTGACGGAATCTGGGACGTCATGAGCAACGACGAACTCTGCGCTTACATCCGTCAGCTTATGAACAACGGCGAGTCTGACTTGAAGTTAATAGCGGAAGAGGTCCTGGACAACTGCCTTCGTGCAGGAAGGTATGGCTGTGGTTATATTGTCGTGAGTGTATGCACTAGTGCTAACGGTTTGTGTCTGGATTGCAGCCGTGACAATATGAGCGTTGTGATTGTCAAATTCCCTGGTGCAAAGCTCGGCTCGGGCGGCGGCGTGGCCAAGATCCGCGAGGAGCGTGCTCGCTTGGAGAAGGCTGAGCAGGAGACCAATGCTGAACTCGACAATGACGATAATGGAGTTGCAGGTGCCCTTCCAGCGTCCAAGTCCTCGTAGTTATGCAGCGCAGGTAAAGAAAACAGGTTGAGTGGAGACGTGGGGTGCGTGTCCATCAGTTCCTATGCTTCTTCACGGCTAGCTTAGCTTTCGGTGTTTCCCACCCTTCGTCTATCAAGATCAATGACAAGAACTAATCAGTTTTCCGTGCCATTGAATCAGAATTTACATTGTCCTTGTTGCCGCGGTAGCAGCATGATAAAGGAAATCACGAAAAATGGTTTTGCAAAAGTCAACAGTGCTGTTATGTACGTACTTGAACGTGAAAGTTGCCTAGAATGTCGGATTCGTGAGCGGAAACAACAGACCTACATGGCAACTTTAGTTTTGGACGGCCGCTTTAGCCTGGTTCGCCATCTTACTCTTGCAATGCGCTGTATTGTTGGTTGGTCGCTTGTACTTCGATAAGTCCAAGGCCCGGAAATATGCGATAGTGCGCATGAGTCCTTCTTCGATACACACATGGGGGTTCCAATCCAAATGCGTTCTAATCCACAACAAAGAGCAATATAGAGTTAGTCACGTCAAGGATACAGTTGTGTGCAAACCAACAACGTACCTGGCAAGGGTGATGTCAGGTTTTCGCAATTTGGGGTCGTTGTTGGGCAGATCCCGGAACACCAAACGACTGCATGAATTTGTCAGCCCAATGATCATTTCAGCTAGTTCACGGATTGTCATCTCGTGCGGATTGCCCAAGTTCATAGGCCCCACGCAGGTCTTGCAGTCCATGAAGCGGATAATGGCTTCGACGAGGTCATCCACGAAGCAGAATGAGCGCGTTTGGCTGCCTGTGCCGTAGATCGTGATGTCCTCGCCCTGTAGCGCCTGCATGATAAAGTTGCTTACCACACGTCCGTCGTACGGGTGCATACCGGGGCCGTACGTGTTGAAGATTCGCGCCACACGGATATCTACTGCCTGTGTGCGATGATACTCGAAGAACAGCGTCTCGGCCACACGCTTGCCTTCATCGTAGCACGCTCTCACGCCAGTGCAGTCGACATTGCCCAGATAGGATTCCACCTGTGGCGACACTTCTGGGTCGCCATACACTTCACTAGTCGAAGCTTGGAACACGCGCGCCTTGACACGCTTGGCCAACCCGAGGACGTTGATGGCGCCCATAAAAGACACCTTGGTGGTTTTAATGGGGTTGTACTGGTAGTGCACGGGCGATGCAGGACATGCCAGGTTGTAGATCTGGTCTACTTCGCAGGAGTAGGGCTCTGTCACGTCGTGACGCACGAACTCGAAGTTCGGGTAGCGCATTTGCAAGTCCAGGACGTTGGCACGTTGACTGGTGAAGAGATTGTCAAGGCAAATAACCTCGTGGCCCTGCTCCAATAGGCGACGACACAGGTGAATGCCGATAAAGCCGGCGCCGCCCGTCACGAGGATGCGTTGCATGGTACACTCCTGCACCTGGCTGGGTAGCGACAGAGGTCGGCGGCGCTGTGGCGGCGGCGGTTCTTCGCGGGGCACGATGGTGACCGGTGACACGGGCGCGGGAGGCGTCGCGGGCTGCTGCATGTTGGTCACTTGGTGATCGTCGCTTTGCGCCATCTCTGGCGAAGCAATTGAGGCAGTGGGGGCCATCGCCGATGAGCTATTGCTGGCGTTGCTGGCGTCTTATTCAAGTCTGAAAGGCCAAAAAAAAATATGGCGAGTGATTTTCTTGTCACATCGTGATTTTTTCTTTTCTTTTTTTTACTTCAGCTAAATTTGCTTCACTGAAAAAATGATTTTTAGGTCAGAAGTTTTGTCTAGTTTTGAAAATAGGCAATTGTTTGCCTAATTTCAATTTTAGACACTTGAAGAAAAAAGTGCTCCGCAAATTTTGCATTGCAATTTTTCGCATTGAAAATAAATTCCTTTTTCTTCCACGCCAAGCAGCGAAGATGCCGGCAACAGCGGGGCGCGTGCGCATGCCGCACAACAACCGCATGCACAGCAGTGCGACCCTCAAGATGACGGGTATCTGGAAGAACACCATCGGCTACGACCCGTACGCGGCCGAGGGCGAGAAGCAGGGGGAGACGAGCGAGACCTCGTACGAGCAGGCCAAAGGTCTCATGGCGCTTGCCAAGCTCTCCAACAAGTCGGTGGGTAGGCAATAGTCTATGAGATTAGGGTCAGGGGTGGTATCCAATCTGTGTTATGCTAACTTTTTGCTGTTAGAACGATGTTCGTGGCGCCTGCAAGAAGGTAAGATGATGTTTCCCGCATTTTATTTATTAGGAAACTAACCTTTTTTTTTTTTTTTTACTGTATTGCAGTGCGGTATGGTGGGCCACTTGACTTTCCAGTGTCGAAATCATTTGGGAGGGGAGGAGAAGCGCGTGATGTCGTCGGACTTGGACTCGTCTTCGTCCTCGGTAAGCGTCACGTTGATATTGACAATCGTCTGTTGAAAAAATAGGGTCTAAACATTGACACGACTGCTGTTGCATTTCGTTTTGCAGGATTCTTCAAGTGACGAGGATGAAGATGAAAGTGAAGATGAAAAGGACGGCAAACCGTCTTCACGCCGTCCGTCATCGCGCGGACGAAGCAGAAGCCGCAGTCGCAGTCGCAGTTTGAGTGAAGCGAGAGAGCGACGTAAAATCCGCTCAAGAAGCCGAAGTCGCAGTGCCGGACGCCGCCGTCGAGGGAGATCGCCTTCTAGAAGCCGCAGCTCGAGTCGTGAACGTAATCGTAGCCGTGGGGATCGTAAGAAACGTCGACGCAGTCGCAGTTCGAGCTCTGGCTCTGAGCATGAGAGCACTAAGCGACGACGACGTTCGGACAGCGAGAAACGCTCATCAAAGAGAGACAAAAAACGGAAGAGCTCGTCGAAGAAGAAGCACAAGGACAGGAAGGAGAAAGAGCGCAAACATCGTCATCGCCACGACTCGAAGAGAAAATCGCACTCGAAGAAGAAGCGCCACTGAACAAGGTGACAACATGGCACCTTATTTGAGTAGAAGATGTCACTAGCATCGAATCTAACCTAGCTAGCTTTATACACTTTTGCCGCTTTATACATTCACTCCTTCAGATTATTTTTAAGGTAAAATGCCATTGGAAATCTTCTGGAACCAGTCATATTGCCTGGTGCCACGGTGTCCATTGCTCTTATCGATGATGCGAGCAGCGGTGCGTTCCACGTCTTGAACACTCCAGCCAATACACAATCGACGACTCAATCGCCGCACAATACGCGCTCGAGATCGCCCCTTGAAGCATGGGAAGCAGGAATCTTTGGACGAAAGGTACACAAGTGACAGCAATTGTTGCGCTTCCAGATGCAGAGCAAGTAAACCTTGACCTACGAGCTGTCGATAGCGATCAAATCCTTCTCCACCCATGATCTCCACCATCTCCGGTGTGAGCTTGAACGGTGCCGTCTCGAGACTGAAAGTGTTGCCAGGTGCGATACCCAGAACGAAGCCAAAGTCAATATGAACAACGTGGCCTTCGGTGTCCAGCATTATGTTGCCATTGTGTCGATCTTTCACCAGGAAAATGTAGGAAAAGAGGCTGTAGGCGGCCATACTCGAGATGAAATTTGCGCGAGCTCTCTCCAAGCGGACCGGGTCGTGTTCACCTGTGATCGGGTCTCGTCCACAAGCCCGATTGAAGATAAGAGGCAGTGACGTGCCAACGTCAGTGATTTTCTTGCCCTTCTTCTTGAGACCATCGAGTGACTGGGCATCCGTGATCACCTCCAATAAGCCACAATCTTTACCTGCGCACACAATACTATAGTAACGCATCCATAGATTAAGTCCATGCTTCCGGAAAATGAGCTGGAACAGCTTCAATCCTTGCAGCACGAAAACTTCTTGGCGCATATCGTCAAAACTTTTCGCAATCACCGGAGCTAACGCCCATCCGTCGAAGCGGGAGAAGGAGCTTTCCTCGCGGATACGCTTCTGTGTATCAGCAAAGCGTTCCCCGAAGAACGGACACTGTGCGACTTGTGTTGAGTTTGCAGACTCCACGCTATCACTCGTATCTGTGCCCACTTCACCGCTTTCTTCTTCCGCCTCGAACCCATCACTTTCGTCGGAGAAACCTGCCTTGTCACTTAGTGGTGTGCAGCCAGCGGGTAATACGTTACTGAGTCTGTCTAGGTCCTCCGAGATTGAAGACCGCAATGAGGCTTGAGAATCACTTCGGCTGACCGGGATTAAGTCTGCCACGTAGGTGCCAACGGTTTCTCCATCGAGGTAGTTGAGGATTTCCTGTTGCTCTGGTGCCAATAGATCATCCTTTTCTTGCTCCATTTTCACTGCAGCATCCACCAACGCATCGACTTCGCTGTCGTGATTAGGCTGGGTATCAAGCTCTCGAGACTCACCATCACATCCTAATGAAGAAGCGATAATCTCGAAGAAAACCAGTGTCGGTGCTCGAGCCTTGGTGGAAAACACCGTTCCTTCGTTGGTGAGTACGTTGACCACACGATGAGGGTGCGCCATGGCTCCAGATAGCGGCAATGCAGCCTCAGGTCGAATGTGCTTCCCACGCAGCATCTCCTGTAACAAAGCCGGGAGCTGTTTCTTCCGCAGAGAAGGCTCGGAGATGTTCTCTTTCAAATATGTACACAGGTCCACGAGGAACCGCACGAGCCGAACTTCGTCACTGAATATGTGCTGAGCAGGTTTGTTCCACATACGCTGTTTCGCTTCCACGAGATGCTGAGTACCTGATCTCCGACGTTCCAGTATCATGAGCTGCGCTGCTTCGTGGTAATCCGGTGGGAATGGATCCAGAAATCCGTCGCCGACACGGAGCTGCCTTTGAACATTTCGAGAACTGGCCACGGTCTCCTCCTTGCTGCGAGCTAAAAGCCATTCAAAGAACGGAGATTCACGCTGCGAGGCGGCATAAGTCCTACGAACAAATTCGTACAATTGTTCAAGCAGCTTCTCCAATGTTTCGCGTTGATGTAGTGGCGCTTGTGGGAACAGCAGCTGCGGTAGGACACTGCGAGGTTCTCCAAAATTGACGTTTGTAACAAAGAATAACATGACTACAATGCCATTGCCGCGCTTGTACAGTCCTCCAGCCATTGCGTCCCAGTGAGCAGCAATGCATTCCCACGTCGCCTTGACTGCAAGATGGACACTACGACGTGCAGTGGCAGCCAGGAAGAAGAGGTAGAAGGCTCTGACACTGGGTGATGCATCGGGAAGGTTCACGAAACCCCACTGCAAGAACTGTGGCCAGTAAAACTCCATCGTCTCCATACAGTTCTCCACGTTGTGTACGAGTTGCGCGAGCACCATCACGAACATGAACGGTTGTTGACGATACTTGAACATTGCTGAGAGGAGACTCAGAGGCCCAAGGCTTCGAGCGCGTATGTGGCTTGCAATCTCATGCTTTGGACCCTGATCAAAGTATTTCCAGCGGACAAGTCGTGATAATCCACCCGCTTCGTCAACTGCAGAAGCATAATACACACCAGCTTCTTGCAAAGATGTTAACAACTGCTGCCTTACCAGGCAATCCATGCAAACTCGCTTCAGTTCAGGTGTTGGAACAGCTCTAGCACCGACTTGGGACCCCACCATGTCTCGTGTTGGCAGCGTGATCGACTCAGGAGTTGTCAAAGCTGTCCACTGGTTGCAGTGATCGCGACAAAACCGATGCGAACAGGACGCACAGACCTTGGGAGTATGGATAAGTCTACCGAATCTCCTGTTACACCGCAGACAGCCGTTTGTTGGCTGTGGAGATGAACCGAACACTGAACCCAAACTATGCCGTCGACTCCGAGTACTTGCAGTGGATTCTTTGGCCGCACTAGAGCTGAGAGGATCCGTGACGTTGCTGTTTGATCTCTCACGAGTAGCTATCTGCTGTCCTCTGCCCGACGATAGTAATAAAGAAGGATTAACTGCGGTATCCGCCGCGTAGTCACCATCTGTGTTGGCGACGCTAGTGTCGCTATCGCTCACGTCTTCAATCTCAGCTTCGTGGGAATTCCCCTCCGCCAACTCGAAGTGATCCATCGCGAACATCCCGGGCGCAGCAGTATTCGTCTTAATAACTGAGTCCTGTTCATCCATCGGCGTCATTGAGCTCAACGCCGACGTTGTAAGTGATAGCAGGCCAAACGGGTCTCCGTCTTCCATTAAATTCTCCGATTTGCCTTGGTGCAGCAACGACCGCATGGAAATCGACGACCTTGACGCTGCCAGGTGCCGAGACTCGAGTTCTTCCACAACGTCCTCTCCAGCCTCCTGTTCCTCGTCACTTTCCTGTTCATTCAAGGTCTCCTCTGCCTCCTTGGGCAGCAATTTCCCTAGAAAAGTTACCCATTCGTCTCGCTGTTCCTGCGACTCAGTCTCAAGCAGCAAAGCGACTCCAGAGCTCTCGTCTTCGACGTAGAACGAGACACTCTCAAGTCGTTTCCGCTCTTCATCGTCCATTGCCAAATTGATAAACACTCCTGTACGGTCACCGTCACTCTCGGGTAATTTCACGTTTTCTCCGTCCACTGCCTCGACGCTCGAGACTCTTGTGCTGGCCAGTAATACGGCACCACCGGAGCTCGTAGAAGGCGATGCGTCCTCTTCCTCACTGCTCTCGGTACTGGCGTCCACTGTGAACCACTCCAGAGACGCAACAGGTGCCTTGGAGACGCAAAAATACCACACGTCGTCACTCAAGCGGCCAGCAGACCGTAAGTGACCACTAGAGGACGGCAACGCTGCGTCTAAACTTTCGTCTGGATTGTAGACACTAGAGGGCGAACTGAACGCAACGCGCTCCCGAATGCGCACGAGTCCCTCGCATCGGGTCGTCCCCATGGTGATGGCGGAATTATGAATGCGACACTTCTGGCGGTACCATAATACTAAAAAGTGTACCAGAATATGGGTTCTCATGGGTTGTATTTTGGGCTATTTCGCCAGCTGAATGGCTACATTTGTGGTGGGAATAAAATGGCACGAATCGAAGATAAAGCTGTGTGCTTCCAGGGGTGGGAGCAGTGTCATCACCGCTATTTGCTATTTGCAATTTCGAGGAGATCGAATGCGTGCATCAGGTTTGGTAGCGCACTTGCTGGTATTTTGTCCAATTTATTATCGTAGTTGGTAAAGCCATCTGGATGCCCGATAACATATCGCCTCGAGCTAGACTCTGGGAAGTTGTGCTAGTACATTCGCAATGGATGGTTGTTCGTTTATTTGTACCACGACGCAAAGGGGACCGCGCGTTCCACTCGATGATTTCTACAAAGTGTAGAATCACCACCAAGTCTTGTTGGCTATCTTCTTCAATCAATCGGGCGGTATTTTTTTTTTCTTCAAGTGGAAGCTGAAGCGACGAGAATGGCTCAAACTATGCTGACCTTTTAAGTTGCTCGAGTGTCCACGAAAGATGGTCGATGGAAGAAGTGTGAGATCCAGCCACAAGGCTGTCATGTCGAGTCGACATGGTCGACATTGTCGACCATCACTGTCTTCAGCACAAAACGGTACCACAGTTTGCCATGCGCTCCATTATCTTTGCGCTGGACAAGATTTAACAATCACGCGTGAGTTCATGGTGACAGAATCAAAGGTTCTTCGGTTTGCCTGGGCTCCCGCTGTAGCCCTTTGCTGAGATAACGTAGGAGGCAAACGAGGAACTCCTGGGCGTCTTGATGGTTTCCGTCAGTCATGTGTGGTGAGAGCACTGAAAAAGGTTTCGATAGATTCCTCGGGGATAGGGAGCTGGTAGTATCCTGCTTACTTCGGTTCAGCTCGAATTGGTGCTTCACGGGGTGTCAACGACGGTATTCGTTCTATCAGGAGTTCCTTTTAAAATTTGTGAGTGCTCAACAGTGGCGTGGCGACCAGGCATTTGGAGAACGGCATTCATGAAGCATGTGTTGCCTAAATTGGTAAAACCTCGCGGGGTTTACGTCGTTGTTCGAGGCATTTGCTGGCACACCGGTTGTTGATTCACTTCACCAACATCGATTAACGATACATTAGCATATATCGACTGTGTGCCTTCAACTTCCTCAGCAACAAAGAAGCAAAGCTCGAATGCGAGTTCACAATGATCAGCAGTGCATTGCAGAGCATTCGACGAGTATGCGGAAGGAAGAAACGAACTCAAGGTGGTCGCTAGCTGATCTTGTTGCAACAATATGGGCTCGTCCTGCACATATCCTGATCTCACCTGCCGCGTTGCGCTCCGCAATAAGCACTTGAGGCTGCCACATTGTGGTTCTAGTGTCGTCGCTAAATCCACACCAATTCTTCTGGAACCGCATCGATCGCACTTTGAAAAGTACATTGCTCGAAAGTAAGCACTTGCGGGAGAACCACATCTCTCTCAAATCCATCACAACTTGTGATAGTCACCGAAACACAGACCCAGGACCCATTCATAAATTGCTGAGCGCCAGGACGCCGAATTTTGGACGCCAAAGCAGCTGTGTGGCGATATGACTCGTTCATCCAAACTGGAAGGACATAGAACTAATAACCAGATCGGCAACGGTACCTATACCAATTGCCTGGCCGTAACTGAGTCGATTCTTCGCTCAAGATTTGCATGTTAATATGAGGTGAGCATTTTTGTTGCCGCTTTAGCATTTCCTTGGTTACCAGTTCCCATTCGCTCCAGCTCAGCAGACAAAACGCACTCGATTGTGCGTTGTGGGTTAACATATCGAGATATTTGAGAAATGGCTCATTGATCTGATACTCACGGTGTAGACTGAAAAGTAGTAGCGCTGTTTCCACTTCTGCGACTTATAAACCAGGGTGATCTGCGCCACCTCGATAAACTGTAACAACGTCAATAGGTGTGAACCCGCAGCGGAATTCCACCTGGAGATGGAGGCGGGGAAGACAGATGACCTTCTCCTGACACTGATAGCAGCCTCACGCTCACTTTCGATCAGGCTACGTCCTGTTGTCAACTGTAAAAATGCACTTAGCTGCTCGGCACCCATCTGTCCGCAGTTTAGAGTTCAAAAAGCAATCGATAAACCTGGTTCACACTTGACACTTAGACACGACAGTACCCCAGCACAGAAAGCTCGATTTCTTCGCGAGCAGCATCAGTGGAAGGTTTCTCAGTCCGCTTCGTTGGATCCGAAGCAGATATGTGTCCCCAAGCATTTACAATTGAGTTTACAAGGGTATCGTCAGCTAGAATACTTCGGAACCGATCCATTACAATACCAGGTGTTAGCGTACAAGGAGCTGTACACAGATCAAATAGAATATTACGCAATTCAGAGCCAACTACATCTATGCGAAATACCGTGCATTGGAACAGCAGCATCGTCTGCTTCAAGTATCCCTTGCAAAATTTGAAACCCAATCGAGAAAATGAAGATCGGTAAACGAGCTTCTAGACCCGACAAATGTTTGAACTTCTCGATTGTAAGGGCTCCAGATCGAGTTCTTTTTCCGTGTTCAACAGCTCTAAAAATCCAGATTCTGTAGCCGTACATTGAAACTACTGTACCAATTCGGATCGGGTGACGTTATGGCATCTCCACGTGAGCTTCTTGTAATCATTCTGAATATCATCGTGGTCCTCTCGCGAGCTGGAGACTGTGGCAACATTTGTAATGAACTCCTCAAACGAAATTCCCCCGCCACCACTAGCATTCCACTCACAGAATTCCGGATTTGCAGCAAAATATTCGTGCAGCAATACATGTACATCTCGGAAGCTACCTATACTGAGCCCGTGGCACTGCCACTGGCAGTGTCCTTGAGCTCGATTGAAGGCGGTAGCGTGTACTTCCGTCGAGGATAGCTGATGGACGCGGTTAATCTGCGGGAGTCTTGATTTACCCACGTAGTGTTTTGGGCATAGCCGGTTAAAAGTAAAACTGAGCATTAGCACTATTTGGTAGAGGGATTTGAAACTAGTGTGTGATGCAATCGATTTCAGTGTTGAGATCAAACAAGGTTATTCGGGTATTGCTAGGTCTAGCTCATCTACGTGATCGTCTCCTGAAATTTTAACCTTGCATGAGCTCACACCTGCTAGTTGAGATGCCTTCCAAATCCCCTCGTTTCTTCGTTTGCTGTTGCCTTCCATCCCTACCTTTGAGAGTTAGCTTACAGCGCGAGGATGTTCTGCGTGTCACAGTTGTCGTTAGTGTAGCCCTTGAAGCAATCGCAGACGCCAATCAGGGTGTCACAAATGCCTCGGCCGGAGCATTGCGAGACGTAGTTGTACTTGTACGCATCCTCAGGCGGAGTAATTTCGTACACAAACAGAACTGTGTTGGCGCCACCATCCAGAGAGTTTCCCCCAAAAGGTCGATCCAACGTGATAGTAGTGTCGGTAGCCACCGTGACCGCTTTGAGTCGGTAGAATTGGTTTTCAAAGAAAATGAGATCCCCAGCCGCAAGGCCAGTTGCAGCCCCCGTTACGGTGATTGTCGTGGCACCAACAGGAACGGCAGGCGAGATTGCTTTGCCGGTAGACACTGTGACTCGGGAGACTCCACTAGAATCCTTCTGAGCGTTGAAGCGATGGCTGGTGGTTCCTAGCGCGTGGTTGACCGCGTACACGAGTGTAATTGTCGTCCCCGAAAGAGTACCGAGCAATACATGCGAACCAACCCGGAACAGTGTGGCAGCAGTATCTGATAGCCCAGCAGTGTTGGTCACCGTGAGTGTGGTAGTTGTCTGGGCAGTAACGATGACACCGGAATCCTCTGTGAACCATTCGTTGTCTTGACCCTTCTCCATCGCGTACAGCGCGGCAAACTTTTTAGCTGGATCGACGACACCGTTGAAGTCGTAACTTGCAATTTCAGGAGTGCGTAGACGACCAGGATTGCCGGTGAACTGACAGACAACTGAAAGACCGTGGGTTGCAGCCGTGCGTGTGGATTTATAGCCGACAAGGTCGTCGCCTACATTAACATTCGTCGGCTCGCAGTCTACGTTTTGGAAAGTCTTGTTGGGGATTTTCTTGATTGCTGCAGCGACAGCATCAGCGTTTCTTTGCGCAAGCTGAAGAGCAGTGGGGGCAACGGAGGTATCACCATCGACATCACTCACGATTGGGATGGGATCAGTGATGTAGGATTCGCCATGGTAGTCGAAAAGCCGAAGACGTACCCAATCAGCTTGGATCGTTCTACCGACAGGAGTTGTTACACCTAAAGTGGTTGACGATGTAGGAAACGCAGTCGGATCAAGCCAGACGTGTAGCGCAAACACCTCGTACGTTGCTGTGCCCACCGATAGAAACATCGGATCCACACCAACCTTACAGGTACGCAGTGAGCAGTCGGCACCGTGATACCAAGGATCGCAACGGCAACCATAAGTGACTTTGCTGTCCCATAGATCATAGGTTATCTTGTTCACGTTGTCCGGATTCCCAAAAAGCGTACCCGGAGCCTTGAGTCCCAGCTCACTGATACTCTCACACGTTCCATGACCACTGCACTTGTTAGGACACGCAGCGCGCTGGCATGCCACACCTTCATATCCGTCAAAGCACACGCACGTTCCCAGAGTTCGATCACACAGTCCCTTGTTGGAGCACTCCATATAGAAGTGGGCCTCATTGGTTATAGCATCCGGGCTAAAGTACTCGTACGTCTTTGCTGGAAACTGCTGCGAATCCTCGAGAATCCAGCCGGTCGTCTTCCGATCCTGATCATAATTGATGTCACCCTTGGGCGTGTCAGCGTGGGCGTAGCCGAATTGGCACGTGCGGTCGAAGCAGTCGTTGCCCTCGTAGTTCTTGTAGCAATTGCACATGTCCTTGGCCATACACGCTCCGTTGCCCGAACAGGCGTTCGGACACTCGGCTGAAGTCGGAACGCTCAGCATTGCCACGACCACCAGTACCAATCCGGACGCTAGCAGCATCTTGCGCCTACCTCCCATAGTCGCTCAGTCGTCTTCAGTTGAACTTCACTTGCCGGCCTAATGGTTCGTTGCCCCAACGCTGTGGTTTGCCAAATGCCTAACGACCGACACTAACCGACCTATGCGATCTTGCAATGTGCACCTCATGAAGAGGCGGTAGCGACGGGTGGGACCGAGATCTTTGCGCGTCCCTTCATGCGCAAAGCAAACGGTTAAAATATCGGTTGCATTTTCGTGGAAATAATTTAAGACAGGTTGTGTGCTTTGAAGCGATCGATTTTGAGAAGGTTGGAGCAAAATGAACCAGACGCCGCCGGACCCGCACGCACCGGAATCGGAGACAACACGACAAGGGAGGACGTTGATTCGGGTGAGTTTGCTACGAGTTATATGGCTTGTTGGTGTCGAACTAGGCTCATGAATGGTTCTAGCTGTTGTTTCGATCGAGTAAGGAGGATGAGAAAAATAACAATGGTAAGATGAAAGAACAAGACAATCGAGCTGAAGATGCCGCGTCCTTGAAGCAGGCTACCCACACGCAACTTAACAGTGATCAGCCTCCTCCGGTACCTGCAACGACAAGTAAATTTGCTTCGCTAAAGCGCAAGTTGTTTCCATCTCAAAACCGACGATATCCTCGACAAGTGCCACCACTTATCAGTCCAATCACCGCATCAGTGAAGCCTCCTCTTCCACCACTCGGAGAAAATCTGAAGCCTCTTAGCTACAACTCGACATCTAGAAACGACGACGAAAACAGTGATCAAAACCAAGCGAATGAGGGGTTGTTCAGCTTAGCTCTTTTCAAAGATAATCAGATGTCAACGTATCTGGAGTCGGATGGCCAAGAAGATACCCCTGAAAGCGACTTCTCTCTAGCAGAGGTTGACAATAATTGGGCGATAACATGCAGGAGAACGCTTATAGACGACGATGATGACAGAGATCTGGAAAGCGCAGTGGAGGCCCTCGATCTCGAGAGCTCGAATCCCGACAAGACGTTGGAAGAGGTGCGCACTTTTCTCTTTGCAAATGCAACAAATGTTCCTAATTCTTTTTCGCTTCATCGTGTAGATGAGTAAAGCTATCGATGACCTACGAGAGTGGAAACAAGCCCACCAGCAGAAAACACAGGAAGCTTTGGATGTGTTGGTACGTATTACGAGATTCCATTCAGTATATTTCAGCTCGACTCATTTTTGAGTATTTCACGAAATAGCAAGCTGAACAAGAACTCCAACATTCTGTTAAATCATCACGAAACTCAATTGAAAGCGAAGATTTTCTAAGAGTACAACTTCAAGTACGTACTTCGACGGCATGTTTACCGATTGTTACGCCAACCAACGTTATGTTTCAGCTCAAGATGCAGCAACAACAGCGGGATCGCGAGGCGCAAGCACTCGAACTCCGAAAAGAAGTCGAGGCGTTCCAAGTCGAGTGTAACGTCTTCAAGACTACACTTGACGAATCCGAAGCCACCCGAGTGGAACAGGCTCTGCAAAACTGTACCGACTCCAAAAACATGGCCCTCTCAAGACTGCGCGACGAACTCTTCCAGCTCGACGTGAAGCAGCGTCAAGAGGCACTGTTGCAGGAGCTGCAAGGCACCGATAACGCTCTAGGTACGCTACCACAGGCTATTGTTACGTTTACTAGCTTTGGAGTCGCTGCTAACTTGTCGCTGCTAACTTGTATATTTGCAGACATGAACATCGTGAATGTCCAGGTATGCCCCAGCAACGAAGAAGACATTCTCTAATTTTCTAACCACACGCTATATTGCGTCCATTGTAGGCTTTTACGGGTGAACTGGATGCCATCTTGGCGCAGTTTGACGGCGATGGCGTTAACGGCAAGCTGAGTGCGATGGCTGAAGATGAAGGTCTGACAATCTGATTAATTACCCCTTTCAATGTGATGAAGATCATATCATTACGGGGTATCTATTCGTAAAGGCAGAAAATTTACAAAAAGGTTGAGTTAGCATCATCAACAACTTACAAATATTTAATATCGCAGGTTCTCTTTTTATTGATTCTAATTCCCTCCCCTTTCATATCCGAATCCACCTTCAACCCGCATCAAAGGTCCAGCCCTCACGTCTCTGATGGCCGCGCGCGAGCTTATCGCGCTCGAGGATGTGGCCAAGATGCCTGCTCCAGGGCTCAGTACGCCAGCCAACGTGAGCTTCAGCCCGGACGGCCGCATCGTGGCCTTCTTGCATGCCCCTGGGGCTCAGAGCGGCCTCTCTCGCCAACTGTACGCGCTGGACGTGGCTTCACGCCGCGTGTCGCTACTGGCAGCTCCTCCCAACCAGGGCAACACGGAAGGGAATCTCAGTCTCGAGGAGAAGCTTCGTCGTGAGCGTCAACGCCAAATGGGGGTGGGAATCACGTCCTACGCATGGAACCCGTCGCCTCTTTCCCAACGCATACTATACCCTCTACAAGGTGATATTTACCTTCAAGAACAGCCAGGGGCGGAGCTTAAGTTGCTCTTCGACAAGACCTCGACTGGCGCCGCAGGAGGTGCCATCGACCCGCAGTTCTCGCCTGATGGCAGATGGGTGGCCTTTGTACAGGACAAGGAGCTCTATGTGATCCCCAGCCACGTGACGGAGGGCGGACAGCAGGCCGTACAGGTGACGCAAGGGGCTCGAGGCGTCGATGGCAAGTCCAATGGACTCGCCTGCTTCTTGACTCAAGAGGAACTCAGTCGCTTCCGCGGCTTCTGGTGGTCTCCTGACAGCACGAAGATCGCGTTCGAGGAGATCGATGAGAGCCACCTCCCCAAGTTCAGGATCATGCACTCGGGCAGCGCCGAGCCGACGGGAGACGCGGCGCAGGAGGACCATCGCTATCCTTTCGCAGGTGCTGCCAACCCCAAGAGACGACTGGGGGTCATCAAACTGCCACACGCAGAGCAACAGAACTCTCGTGAGATCCCCACTCCTGTGTGGATGGATTTTGCCAATCCAGACCCGGATTTTTACATTTCCAGAGTCAATTGGCTGCCCGATCAGTCGCTCGGAGTGCAGAGACTGAATCGACTGCAGACGGAGGTGACTTTCTTGCGCTTTGACGTGCATACTGGACGTGCTACGACGCTGATTCAGGAGAGCAACCCCGTGTGGTTGAATGCGAACTATCTGTTCCGTAATATTGAAGCGGAAGGCAACAACACGTTCCGGTTTTTATGGGGATCGGAGAGGAGTGGATTCATGCATCTGTATCTGTACGAATACACGGCTGGAGCACCGGGAGCGCGTCTGCTTGGAGCTGTGACGAGCGGCAAATGGAGTGTGGAGTCTGTGGAAGGTATCGACTTAGCGCAGGGCCGTGTCTACTTTTGCGGTACGGTGGATTCCCCACTGGAGCGACATTTATACGTGACGTCGCTCTTGCCGATCAGTGACCCACCGCTGCCTCCCACGCGACTTACTGGTGCTGAAGGTATGCACAGTATCGTCATGGACAGCAGTTGCCGCATGTTCGTGGATGTGTACAGCAATACTACGACACCTCCACGTGCACTTGTGTGTACTGTGCCTTCGGAAGCTCAGATTGCAGCAGTGAAGCCGGTTGAGCCGGCAGACCCGACTTTGGCAGCAGAGCCAGCAGCCCCAGTGTCTGCTGAGCTTGCTGCAGTTTTCCAGACGATTCAGGACTCTGCATTTCCCCTTACTACAGAGCAGGAAGATCTGCGTGTTTCGATTCTTCAAGCTCAGGCCAAGTTGTGCACTCCAAAGATTATTTCGTTCCCGACACGTGACGGCAAGGAGATGCTTTACGGGGCTGTATACCTGCCCGATCGAGAGATTCATGGTGACGGTCCGTACCCTACCATGGTGAGCGTGTATGGTGGCCCGCATGTCCAGCGTGTTGCGCGGATGTGGGCGATGACTGTGGATATGCGAGCGCAGCGGTTCCGTGACATGGGCTACGCTGTGCTGAAGGTGGATAACCGTGGTAGTTTCCGTCGTGGATCGGCTTTTGAAGGCGCAATCAAGCACTGCATGGGCACGGTAGAGATTCTAGATCAGGAGGACGGCGTCCGCAAACTGGTGGACGAAGGAATTACGATCGAAGGACGCGTAGGAATTTATGGCTGGAGCTATGGTGGCTACATGTCGGCGATCAGTCTCATGAAGGCGCCCAAGACCTTCAAACTTGCCATCGCTGGCGCGCCTGTGACGAGTTGGGACGGCTATGACACGTGCTACACGGAGCGCTACATGTCTACGCCTCAGCTGAACCCGACGGGTTACCGGGACGGCAGTGTCATGGAAGCCGTTGGAAACATGCAGCATGGCCAGAAGCTTATGCTTGTTCATGGATTGATCGATGAGAACGTGCACTTCCGCCACACAGCTCGCCTTATCACGGCGCTGATCAACGCACGGAAGCACTACGACTTGCTGCTCTTCCCTGGCGAACGTCACTCGCCTCGCCACCTAGAAGACCGAATTTACATGGAGCAGCGTATCGCCGAGTACGTGGAAGCCAACCTGTAATGGGGAATATGAACAACAGATTACTACTTCGAAGCAGTTAAGGCGTCGTGTCGTCGGTGCGGGTGAGTGAGTAGTGCGATGCGTTGTATTGAATCCATTCTAGAGTATACGTGAGTACTCTCTGCACGATGTCCGGCTTGCTCAAAACTGCACTTTGCTGTTCTCAGGATCTCTCCAGCGAGGCTTGGATTGCGCGTTGAAGCTCATCCATTTCGTCTGTGTTGGTTGATTCATTGCCGTACAGACCGAAGTCCTGCGGCGGTGCATAATCTTGAGCTGACAATTCCATTGCTCGACGTAACTGTTCGTCATAGTCAGCGGCTCCACTTGCTGCTGGAACGCTTGCTCCAACATCTCCCAGAGACGCCTGAATCGCTGCAGATATTTGAGCGTCGAAATCGACTGCGTGGTCACCTAAAGACGCTTGAATTGCAGACTTCATCTGCTCTTCTTCTGACTCTGCTTTTGCCTTGGCCAGCAGCTCCGCTTGGATTGCTGCCATTTCACTTTCTCGTGTAGCTTCTTCGATCTCTTCACGCTCTCGATGAGCCTGTGCCGGCGAAGCTTCTCCATACTCTGCTAGTGATAGTTTTAACGTCTCTTCCAAACTTTTGTCCATGGCGTCGAACTCGTTTCGAGATTGCTAGGATATTGAAAATAAAAGACAGCAGAGTTAGCGTACAGTAGCTTCGTTCATCAAGAGACTATGTACAACGTACCACGAGGACTTGTTCGAGCTGCTCAACTTCTGTGCGTTCACGGTCTGATTGGGCCTGCACTTCCTGCTCCACTCCGGAAACATCGTTACGTGTTTCACGCGAGTTGATACGGTGGGAGTATCCGATATGACGCTGCTCCCATTGACCCGGTCTCTCTCGAATCAAATTTGCTTGATGATCTGGGCCTACAAGAGAATCATAGTGACCTCCTCCGTAGTAACTCAACCTAGCAGCATAGTGTTAGTTCAATTAATGTAGTTAGAAGTGTTCGAATGCAACGTACCGAATGGGAGGTCTAGTGCGAGCAAGGGCACTGTTCTCGTGAAAGCATCGAAGCTTTCGGAAGCCTTGTTGAGGGTCGTAAGCAAACACTTCAGCAGGACGGTCGTAGAGCTCGCATAAAGCTTGCAACTCCGGGTCGTCTCCCCACACCCCATCACGTCGTTTGTAGCGCAAGTACCGCATGAATGCTGCCATGTCGCCCACCACATAAGGTTCAAAGTATTCCTTCTCACTCTCCATGTAATCCATACACGCCGCACGTACAAGAGCATGATGACTATCATCACCATACACTTGATGACTCACGGATCGGAAAAGACAATTGCCATCGCCTTCAATGTCATGAATCGTCAACCCAAGCGTAGCCTGGAGCGAGTCACGGTAGTGCGTGAATCTCGGATTCTGCGCTTGAATGACCCGTCGATGTGTCGCGTTCGGCGCGTCCACAGCCAGTTTTCTCTGTTCAAGCGTACTCCCACGTCCACGGAGTTGCAAGTGCTCTCCAGCCGGCGCCACCTTTGCAGGCGTGAATTGAATCCACTCGTCGAACTTCTGGTCGCGTCCAGGATATCTCACCAATACCGATCCACCACCTGCTCTCACTGCGAGCGCCTCCTTCCACAAGCTACTATTGCCTCCACCAGGACGCACTTCAATCTGCTGGGCCTGTCGAATCGGTGCACTGTCATTCCGAGCCTGCTCAAATAATAATAAAAAAAAACTCTGAAAATCTTAATAAAATTATAACCATCCCTTCCAAATTATACCTTGATGCCTGACTGTGCCAGTCGACCAGAATCCATCTGCAACCATTGGTGCCATGACTCGTGCATATTGAGGAATTGTAGCAACACTTCCCCGTCTGCGATCTGCAGGACTCTGGCTGGACACCAATTGCCAAAGACGTTCTGGGCGTCCACCTGGTCACCCACGTGCATCTGACGCCTCCACTCGTAGTCGAATACATTGACGCGCATCATTTCTGGCCAAAATGCAATGAAAATGAATTGCAATGACAAGAATAAGAAGGAGGCTTTTCAGTCAAAAGCAAAAAGTTTTGACGGGATATTGGGAGCTAATGAGAGGGAATTGACGCATACCTTCTTCGAGGTCAGAGTCGTCGCTTGCTGTGTGGCTTCGGCCGTCCATGGGGTCGTCTGGGCGCTCTCTAGGGGAGGCTACAAGCCGCTCGCACACCATGAGGAATAGCGTCCCTGTCGGTGTAATCTGAAGTTAAAGCAAAAGCAACTTTACGCTTATGTTGCGTTAATAGAGATTGTCGGGACAACTTCAACATAAAGGCAACTTTCCGATAGTTTTTGCTTACGATATCATAATATTTTTTTACTTGCGGGCGGAGGTCTGTGTAATTCCATAGTAACAAACCATACCGTCGTCGTTCTCTATGGTAGTGTCGGCGCCCTTGGAGATCAGATAGGCCCCGAGTGAGTCTCCATAGCCGTATGCAAAGCAGAAGTGCAGAGCTGTATTCCCTCGATTCTGCAGCATCAAATAAGGTTAGATGCAAGCCATCACCATGCACAAACAAGACAATCTTACATTCTGGCTGTTGATGTTGGCGCCTCGGCGCAACGCGAGCTTGGTGATTCGTTTGAGTCCGTTCTGACACGCTATGGTCAGCAAAGTGTTACCGAACGCGTCCCTCGAATTCACAGGTACACCCTGGTCTAGCATGTAGATAACAGAGTCGTAGTGGTTGTGGCGTGCAGCCGAGAAGAGATCATAGTCATCTGCTGGAGGAGCAGCGTCACGTAATTCCGACGTGTTTCCACTGCGGTGCTGTTTGTAGTCGAACGAGTCGTACGCAGGCTCAGTTACTGGTAATCGTTTACTGCTGGCACGGAAAGCAGCATCCTTGTACGATGCTGCAGGCGAATTCATTGCTGGATTATTAACACATGATGCTCGAGACGCGTGGGGAATGATAGGCGCGATCTCTCGAGGTGTAACATAGTCACTATCATCGGACGAGGCGGAACGAGCGCTCACACTTGATGTACGAGGCGCCGGGGGAATGACAGGTGCGATCTCTCGAGGTGTAACATATTCACTTTCACCAGATGAGACGGAGCGTGCGCTTCCTCGGGGTGACACGAAGCGCTCGTCTTCAGAACCTGTACTGGAATACCCTCGTCGAGCAGAGCTGCGAGGCGTGTAGAATCGGTCGTCCGTGCCTGCCTTCGCCTCCATCTTGAAATCCCTACCCTGCTCAGAGCAACCTGCAGATTAAATGACACGAGGAATGGCAAATTGCACCCTATAAATAAATACTCCAGAGCGGCTCAGATCAACACTTCAAATGCACTGACGGAAATAAGCCACGCTCGAACTCGTATTTCAAACTGGTTGCGTGTTTCTCTCTGCAGGCAATTAGTTCTGCACATGCAGCGGCTTAAAATGCGAGAGAGATCCACTGAGGAACAGCAACTCCCCGCCTGGATCTCGATCAAATGACCTAGCGATGGCTCCATCACAAGCTTCATCAGATCTCGTGCCTCCAGCTGAGTTCCATCTCCTGATTATTCTTCCATCTTAGCGTCACCGTCCTCATCCTCCTTGACGTCCGACACTTCAACAGCGTCAATCTACAGACACCAGCAACAGCCCACCAACATTAGCTCGCCAGCAAAAAACAGCCCAAATAACCGCCAATATATCCGTACGTAAGGCTGCAGCTCGGCGCCCTCGATGATCTTGAAAGGCTGGTCCACGCCAACCACGGCGATGGTCACGTTAGCGGCCGTGAGCTCCTGGTCTCCCTGGAGGCAGCCACGCACGCCCTGCAGTGCGTGGTGGATGAGCTCGTCCTTGCCCACTGTCAATCAACGCATCGTCAGTAATCTCTCTTCCTTCTAGCACCAAAACCTCCACTCACAGTTGGGGAAGCTCTCGAAGTGCTTCTCCAGATACGTGCGGGCCGACTGCGATCGTGCGCCGATGGCAATGCCCTTGTACTCATAGTAGTTACCCGACGGACACGTCTGGTACAGGTGCACACCTTTTTTCTACAATAACAACAATAACAATAAGATCTCTGCTCCTCCACAACGTCATAGTTAAGGATACGTACGTCAACACCAGCCACCAGCAACCCCACACCGTAGGGGCGACGGATGTACGACTGGGTGCATTCCTGCTTCTTGTCCGCCACGTCCGAGACCAAGCGCCCCACAGTGATGGAGCTGCCGTACACGAACTTGTGGTTGAGGCTCTCTGTGCGCATGAATCGCGCCAGCGTGCGCGCATCAGCTGTGAGTCCAGAGATGGCGATGCCCATGTGCTCATCGATCTTGAAGACCTTCTTCTGATGCTCGGCCAGCTCCAGACTCTGGCGCTTGATGCCGCACAGCACCGCAAACTTGTTGGACGTCAGGCCCAGACACGCGCTGCCCTGCTTTACGGCCTCCATAGCATAGTCGATCTGGTGCAGGTGGCCCTGCGGACTCCACACCGTCACATCCGTGTCGTACTGATTGCGGAACATCTTGTCGCCGGCTTCGTTTAGCTCAATAGCGTGAAGGGGGAGACAAAGATCTGCTAATACCGTTGCGGACGGAAATTTGCGACAGAGGTACCGTGATAGACAGAATTTAAGCTCCTACGATTTGAAACTGGTGTACCGTGATCGACGTTTCCTAAGTTTTTTTTTTTTTTTTTTTTATCGGATTCACAAAAGTATCCGATGATGAAAATGACGAGAGTACGGCGATCTCGGCTGTGCATCTCTCCGTATCGGTTGAAGCTGACGCTAATGTGTCTGTGTGTGTACGTGCAGTATCTAGGACAGCGTGAAGCGCAGCACTTCGACGAGCAGCTGATGAGTTCTACGCACGGTTTCAGCATTGACCAACTGATGGAGTTGGCGGGTCTCAGTGTGGCTACGGCGGTCGGGAAGCAGTACCCCACTAATACAAAATCGACGGCAGCGACCGGCGGGTTCAAGCGTGTGCTGGTGGTCGCCGGCCCGGGTAACAACGGGTGAGTGCAGAGTTTGGAGGAGATTGAAGAGGTAAACTTACTGAGAATGATCTTGTGCACAGCGGTGACGCGTTGGTTGCAGCACGTCACTTGGTGGTAGGACGCTTTAAAGTGACGTATACTGTGGTTGGTTGGGGTATTGATCATGTTTCTTGCAGCATTTTGGGTATTCGCCGAGTATTTTGTATCCGAAGCGCAGTGCGAAGCCCCTTTTCCAGGTTTCATTTGGTGGTGTGTCTTATGACATGGCGAGGTACTGATAGGGTGCTGTATAATTTGGTTGCTACCCGGTAGGGACTGGTGACGCAGTGTGAGCAGTTGAAGATCCCGTTTATTGAACAGATCCAGAACGCGTACGAATGAGGCGGTGGTTTGTTCTGTTCACAATAAAAGCATTGAGGAATTTGTGGTGGTTGATACTGTCGTAGCTCGGATGTGGATGCCGCGTACGACTTAATCTTGGACGGCATTTTCGGGTTTAGTTTCTCTGGAGGCATCCGTCCACCATTTGACCACGTTGTCGGCACGCTGCAAAAGTGTCAGACGCCGATCGTGTCTATTGACATTCCGTCGGGATGGCACGTTGAGAAAGGTGAGGTTTGATGTGCAGGGTGCGTATGAGAAGTTATGCGTATTGATGTCCGATGCACAACAGGGAATGAAAGTGGAGTTGGCTTGGAGCCGCAAATGCTGGTCTCGCTAACTGCTCCGAAACTGTGTGCGAAGCTTTTTACTGGCCCTGATAAGGTTCACTATGTCGGAGGTCGATTCGTGTCTAAGTAAGTTGTCATTTGCAGACCAGTGTAGCATGTAAGTTAAACAGGCCTCCTCATTATTTTTTGTCCTGTGTAGGTCGCTGGCGGAAGAATTCAACCTGGAGCTGCCCGAATACCCCGGTGTGGAGCAGTGCGTGAAGGTTCCAATCCCGTACTGAAGCCAGCAAGGAGATCTGCGGTCTCGAGTGTGACTGCAAGTGCTCCGTTCTTTCGTGCCAAATCGACAGTGTCAACAACCTTTCAATCTAATTGATGCCGTTGCAGCTTTGTAGTGTCCTCTTTGTCATCTTTGCGATCGGCTCGTCTCAGCACGAAGTGCGTGGGTATCACCTGTAGTCAGTAGATGCCTGGCTTATCACGGTTTCGCTGCTCCATGCCGGTGGTGTGGTTATTGGTTCAATGCACGCGTCTTCTACGAGGTAATTGGCTACTGGTAGGTCATCCACACGCCCACATTTAGTCGATAGGCTAGTCGTTGCACTCCCCACGCGCTCAAGTATAGTAGTCCACCTCTGCTTGTGTGCACAGTATATGTGCAGGTCTCCGTGACAGGGACACGAGATCCATCAGGGTCGAGAACCAGCGCATGGCCTTGGTGGGGGCAGATAACATGGTTCTTGTCGACACCCTGCAAGCACTACGAAGCATGTACTTGGGAATTCTTTGGTGTTGGATCGGATACCATGAACTCACGAGCGCCTATCCGTTCGTCTACATGGAATGTGAGCCTGGCTCACGTGAGTGACTAGCGAATTTCAGCTGACACCAGAACTGTTAGTATCACGTGATATAGTCCCGTCTTCACCTTCACTTCAAAGTTATCGGCAGTATCTGCACCACCAATGTTGCGTTCATTGATCAATCTGCTCGCTCCTCCACAAGTGCCAAGTCCAACATGGCCAAGAATACTGAGCCTGCAGTACGTTTGTCGTTGCTTAGTGCTAGTTCACAGCCAAAAGACCTCGAAGGAGGAGATTATGTCGGCGCCAAGACTCCGGAGCAAAGTGGGTACTCAGATCAAGGTGCTCTTCGTCCTGGAGGTGAACCGGTGATCACTAGCAGAGCCAACATCGGTCTGCTGTATCAGTACGCTGTTGTGGGCTTCATCTCCGGTGTGCTACCCTCCACGATCTACCCGTTCCTTCAGATGTACCTCAATTGTAGCGGAGCACAAGTAGCTACTGCTACAACATTAGTGTCGCTCCCGTCGAGTTTCAAGGTGTTTTTCGGTATCCTCTCGGACTGCTTCCCCATCTTCGGCAACCGACGACGTCCGTACATGGTCATCGGGTGGTCTATCTCAGTAGCTATGCTTCTTGTGATGGCATGCTTGCCCATTGGTGATCCATACTACACAGATGCTGACGATCGATACGTCGATGTGTCGGAGTACACCCCCGAGATCGAAGCAAGAATCAACTACGACGCTCCATCGGAAGGCGGCAGGTACGTCATGCTCATGTTCTTCGCTGCAGTAGGTTACGTGCTGTCCGATGCTTGCGCCGACGCTATCATGGCGGGTTTGGCTCAACAGGAGTCATATGAGAGACGAGGCAAACTTCAGACCATGACGTACACGGTGCAGACATTCGTGACGGTGATCAGCTACCTGATTGTCGGTTTCTGCTTCAATGGTGAGGAGTATGGCGGCAATTTCGACTACTCGCTGAGCTTTCCCGAATTGATGGGGATCCTTACAGTGCTTACGGCTCCTACTATCCCTATCACATGGTTCTTCATCAAGGAGGACCGGCTGACTGTCTCGCCGGACTTCAAAGACTACATGGTAGGCTTATGGAACCAGATCTGCAAGCGAGCTGTGTTCCAAGTCATCGCGGCCTTGTTCTTCTACACTTTGATCTGCAATATCTCGTACACGGCCTACTCGCCCATCCAGTCGTATATGGTGAACGTGACCCCCATCAATAGTACGCTCGGAGACGCACTGAGCTACCTCTTCTACATGTTCGGCATGATGGCTACGTCCAGGTGGGGTTTGCACTGGAATTGGCGCGTGATGATTGTCATCACAGGCGTGATCTTGATCGTTATCGACGGCACGTGCAATCTCCTCATCGTCTGGAACGTGTATCGTAGTCAATGGTTTTGGCTCGGCCCGCCGATTGTTGCGCAGCTTCCCAATGGTATCAGCTTCATGGTCAGTACTCTGGTGATCGTGGAGCTTGTCGGTGAAGGTAATGAAGGCGCCATGTACGGACTCATGACTACGATCTCGGGCATCGCGTCTCCGTTCGCGACGTCACTCACTGTAATTATCAACAATCCGTTTGACATCACCAACGAACGCGTGCAGGAGGACGACCACTCTATCCACGTGGACATCACGTACACGATGATCATTGCATACGGCGCAATGGTAGTGTCTTGGATCTTTCTGCTGTTGCTACCCAAGCAAAAGCGAGAGACTCAAGAACTTCTGCGTACGGGTGGATCGAACAAACTGTTGGGTGGACTCACGATATTTTACTTATCCTTCTCGCTGGTGTGGGCTGTAATGGTCAACATCATGGCCATCTTCGATAGCACCTCATGTCTTGTCATTGCTGGTGGCGACGGGTGCTAACATACTCACGATAAACCGTGTACAAGCAACAAGATTGATAATTCATAAATTCATCATTCAAAACACAGACGTACAACATGCACTGTGTACAAATAAACACACTTACTCCTGCTGGAAGTTAGCCACAGCTTGTGATACAGCGAAGTCGCCCGAGTGGCTGATGGACACGCTCAGCTTCGACAGGCCCAAGCGGTTGAAAACCTGCAGCGGGTAGCCCGACAGCAGCACGGACGGCGCGCCCGATGCCGTCATGAAGATCTCGATCTCACGCAGCGGAGCACCAGCACCCTTCCACAGGTTCGGCTCAGTCGGGGCCGAGCTGGAGATGGCCTTGATCACAGCCTCCTTGGCAGCCCAGCGACCGGCGAAGCTCGCTGCCGGGTGAGGCGCGCTGTAGCAGTACGCCATCTCCTGGTCCGTGAAGTTGCGGCGGATGAAGTCCTCGCGGCCGTTCAGGTTCTCGAACGTGGCCACAGGCTCCACATCCACGCCCATGCCCATGTTCTTGGACGCCAGGCCCAGGTCCGTCGCCGCTTGGTTGATGGCAGTCAACAGTGTCGAGGACGAGTCAGCCTGGTGCGCGTCCGAAGTCTTCTTGTTCGACGATGACGCCGCTTCCGCAGCAGCCTTCGCCTTCTTCGCGCGCTTCTCAGCACGCAGACGGCGGTTCTCCTCCGCGGTCAGAGAGTCCGCGCCGCCAAAACGCCACGTCTTGGACGTCGCGTCGTACTCGGCACGAGCCGTAGGGTCCAAGTACACGTTGCTCTCCTGCGCCGACGAGTACGGCGCTTCGTTCTTCACCTGGATGTGCGGATGCTTGCCGGTAATCACGCCCTGCGTGTGCGTGTTCATCTTGATCAAACGCTGTTCGCGGCGAGCCGAGTAGTGCTGGAACTCGTCAACAGGCAGAGTAGATAGGAGGTAGTCCGGGTGCACCAGCAGCACTTCGCCACCGGCCTGGCCGAAGCCGAAACTCTTCATCATCACGGCCTTGACCCCCACGGTCTGGAAGCTGCGGTTCGGGTACACCAAGTGGTCGTACTTGCGCAGAGTCTCGCAAGTGTTGTCCAGCTGACGGTTGCCTGGGATCAAGCCCGAGTTAAGCACCTGCAGCAGACCATTGAGCATCCAAGCAGCAGCGGCACCCTTCGGGTGGCCCGTCAGGTTCTTCTGGCAGATCACCGGCAGCGGGTTGCCCGGAGAACGACCCAGGTGAGCCATCTGCTTGTGCGTCACCTCGCTCTCGTTCTTGTCGTTGGCCTTGGTGCCCGTCCCGTGGAAACTAGCAGCACCCAAGTCGTCGATGTCCAGATTCCACACGCTCAGGGCACCGCGAAGAGGAGCGATATCCGCTTCACCACTGTAGAAATCGTTTCCCCAGGTCGCCTGTGCAGCCTGTACCTTGCGTAACTTCCTCCTCTCAAGGAATGCTTCACGTGATTCGTCTCCGTCGATCAAAGCCTTCTCGCGAGCATACCACTTCTCAATACTCTCAAGCTCATCATCGAACTGACGACGACGGAACTCCACATCCAGCAGCGGCGACGGCTTCGAGTTGCCCGACAAAGCCTCGCGGGCCGTCGTCAGAATACCCTGGCCAGGAGCCGGCACAGATCGGCCGTTCTTGTCCGTCGCCGTGTTCGTAAGCGCGACGATACCGTAGATCGGCAGACCCATTTCCAGAGCAAGCTGAGCGTCCATCAACAACTGCATACCCGCACCATGGCTCTCCATAAAGCCGCCACGCGTGGTCGAGCACGGACGACACATTTCCTTCGGCTCACGACCCATTCCGGCTTCCTTGACTGAGTCACTAGTAGCTTTCATTTGTGCGAATTCATTCGAACACTCTTCACCGAAGTCGTCGTAGCCACCAACAATGCAAATGCGAGCCTTGCCACTCTTGATCGTCTCGGCACCAATGTCCACCGACTCAGCAGCCGTAGCACATGCACCGACCGGGGTCTTGATTGGACCAGACGAACTCAACAGCAGCATGTTCACCCAAGCAGGGGGCGTGTTAATAAAGACTTCCTGCAACGCGTCACTCGGGGCGGGTTTGCCCAGCAAGCGGTTCTTGTAGATGTGACTAAGTGCACGCATACCACCCATACCACCACCGGACGTATTGCCAACCTCGGACACGTGCACGTACTGGTAGAACTCGTACGGGTCGGTCACTCCAGCCGCGACGAACGTATCCATTGTTGCCGCCAACGCATACAGTGCAGTAGGGTCCACCGACTCGGCCAGATCCTTCGACAGACCCAGGCGCTCAGCACTCCATCCCGTCGGGATCTGACCAGCCACGAAGCGGTCGAAGTTAAGAGCACGGGGAATGTTCAGGACAGAACCCTTGCGCAGTCGGATCATCCAAGCCCCGGACGCGTTCTGGAATATGTCCACGTTCTCCTTGCCCAGCTCCTTGCGGAACTGCAGAGCCTCCTCGCGGTCGGCCACCTCGATCGGCGACATCTTCTTGTCAATGGCAACCTGGTGCAGCACCATCTTGTTCTTCGGGTCGTAGCCGTCGAACAGCTCAGGCTCCACGATACGGATACCCGAGTGTTTCAGGATGTCCTCCTCGTAGTGAGGCTTCACCTGGTGGTCCGGCACGATCTCCTTCGTCTTGGCATCCACCCAGTTGCCCTTGTCGAAAACGATGCGGCCCGTCAGCCACGCCAGCTCGATGCAACCTTCCAGCGAAAACTCGCCGTACGACTCCATCTCCCAACGCGTGCGTGAGTTACCCCACGGACTCACTTCACCGAAACCCGTGACGACCACAACCTGGCGCAGGTCCAGCATGCCACGCAACAGTGCCTGCTTCTTCGAGGCAGACAGACCAGCCACACCTGACAGTTTGGGGAACGAGTTGCAGTAGTAGCTGGACATGTTTGCACGAGGAGCGAACGTCTTCGAGCTGGGAGCAGCCACCTGCTTCTTCGCAGGCAGAGCCAGCATCTTCTTGTCGCTCTCCAGCGCAGCGTGAATAGAAGCCTGCAGCTTCGACTTCTTCATGATATCAGCACGAATAGAGTCCACTTGGTCCTTCAGGTCGCTCACCTGTGCCATGCCACCAGTGAGGTCTGCGATGACCGGTGTCTTTGCCGCTCGTTTTACGATTTTAGGGTGCATCAAAGCGCTTAGGTTGAAGCCCATTTCCGTCGTGCTGAACGTGCGCATTCCCATCTTCTCGACACCAGCAGCAACCACATTGTTGCCGGACATGAGGCCCGTGCCACGCGTCCAGCCGATAATGGCACCGACGATGGAAAGCTGGTCGTCCCAGCCCTCCGAGTACCACTTGTTCGTGAGACTCTCGACACCCAGCTTCGACTCGGCGTACAGACCGTCTCCACCAAAGTTGCCATGGTTCGGCGACATCGGCAGGATCACGAGCGCGGGACGAGTGGTGATGTCACGAGCCTTCTTCGCCGTCACAACCTCACCCAGTAAACGCACCGTGTTCGTCAGCATGATGCGGTGCGCCAGCTCCGACCGCGAGTCGATGTCCGTGATCATGCGTCCAACCTCTGACAGAGCCGCAAACGGAATCACGAAGTCCAGGTCCAGCTTGTGCACGTTGTAAATGTGCGCCACCAGGCTCTGAACGTCCACCTTCGAGGCTTGGTTGAACGGAAGCACAATGAGACGGCTGCCACGGCTACCGTGCTGCTCGTAGATCTCACGGAACAAGGCGGTTGTCTTCATACTGAAGCTGCTCGTGGTCACGAACACCGTAGCGCCACCCTCAAGAAGCGCCTTCACGATCTCAGCACCAATTGAGTTCTTACCGCAACCCGTCAGCAGCGCCACCTTGCCAGTGAACGAGATACCCGTCGAGGCCATCTCGCGCATGCACGACAGCAACATGCAGGTGGATTCAACGTCGTACAGACGGATGGTCGGGTCCACGTCAGACGGCTTGCGCACGTGCACGTGTGGCAGCACGATCTTCTTGAGGTTCTCGTTCAAACCGAAACGCAGCGAGGACGAACGAGCCACAAGCGACTTCTCCGACTCGCGCTTGGCACGCTTACGCAGAGAGTCACGCAGCGCGTTGAGCTTGGCACCCTTGGCAGGGGCAACCTTCTTAGTCTTGCTCGCCTCCTTGTCGCCCACCGCAGCTTCCTCCTCATCGAACTCGTCATCATCATCGCTGTCAGGCTCATCACTGCTCATGCTGCCGTTATCGTTCAGGGTCGACTCGAATCCGACAGCACTTGTCATTCCAGCCGTGACGTCCGATCCAGCAACCTTGCCAGTCTCGATGGCGTCATTGTACTCGAGGCCGCGAGCCACCTCGTCAACGTAGTTGATGGAGTCCGTCACGCCTTCACGCGGCACCTCGGCGTACTCGAGCTTACCGTTTTCAAGAATGCGAAGTTGCGGCTGCATCGGCTTGAAAATTTGCATGTTGACAGGGTTCGTGTTCAGCCACTCCTCCACCTGCTCCACCAATAGTTGAACAGCCTGGGCGAGCTCTGGGCTGCTTTCTTCCTCAGCTCGCGACACGAAGAACTGCGTACACTGGAGCAGCTCGGGTGTTGCACGGTTGCACAGGTACGGCTTGAACCACTCGAGGGGCGGAAGCGCTGATTCGTCCGTAATAGTGTCCACGTTCTTGTTGATGAAGCGCGTCATCGCTTCGAAGTGCGTGCTCAGACCTTCGTTCACAGCCAGCTTGGGACTCACAGGCGTGCCCTTGGCAGCAGCCGCGGTGCGGTAGTACAGCTCCATCGCGTCCTGCACAGCCCAGTTCCAGTAGCTGTCGTACTGACGCTCCTTCTTCGCGTCGAACTTGCTGGCAATACCAGCACCGTAGAACTCTCCATGCTCCGTCACCCACTGGGACACCGACGACTCCATCTCCTCGCGCATGTCGACCTCCGTCTCAATCTTGCGGTGCCAGTCGAGCTGATCGTCGCCCAGGTACGAGTTGAGCGCTTCGATCTGATCTGAGATCATAGTCTTCAGACGCTTCTCGAAGTCACTGGGCAGCGAGCTCGACTGCATCACCTGCTGGCCCATTGCCGGTCCAGCCATCATGCCTCCCAGCTTCGACAGGTACGGGATGTCAATGCCAGCGTACTTGGCGTAGTCGTCCACGACGCCGTCCAGCCACTGCTTCGCCGTCGCGTCGTCCGTCAGACGCATCTTCGGGTTCTGTGTGAGACCGTGAAGCAGCACGCTCTCGATGCGGCCACTCGGCAGGCAGCGCTCACTGGACAAGTACTCCTTGATGGCAGACAGACCGAAGCCACCAGGCATCTTGCTTGCCAGCATCTTGGCAATCAGAGCACTTGTCACCTTGCCCGGCGACGCGTAGTCAGGGAACTTACCAGCCAATTCGGCCAGTTTCATCTCCGCAGCATCGTCCGGACCAGAGCCGAACTCCTTCTCGAGGTCACCGACAATCTCGTTTTGCACGGCCGACTTGCCCGCAGATAGCTCCTTGATGGTCGCAGTCTCCGGAACTTCGTTGAACGCCTTGCCGAACTTAGCAGCCAGCATCACCAGCAGAGCGTGCTTGGCCTCCACAGGCTTGTCACTCACCGTCGGGATCGATACGGGGGCCGGGTTGAAGGACATGCCTACAGCACCGGGCGTAGCGGCCATCGTTGGACGGTCGAGAGAGATACCAGCGAAAGAAGCGTAGTTGCTCACACTCTCGTCCAGCCACTTGCGCGCGTCGGCGTCGCTCTTGAAACGAGCCTGCGGGGCTAGCAGCAGAGAGTGAGCCAACACGCTCTCCATGCGACCGGCACCCAGACCCTTCTCGGAGCTCAGGTACTCCTTGATACTGGACATCGTGAAGCCACCAGGCATCTTGCTTGCCACCACCTTGTTGATCAGACCATTCGTCACCTTGCCGAGCGTGTTGTAGCTAGAGAACTTAGACGCCAGCTCCTTCAGCGGAACCTCGCCAGCACCCTCAGGCACACCGCCACCAAACTCCTTCTCAAGGTCGCCAAGGATCTCGTTCTGCACAGCAGACTTGCCGGCGCACAGCGTCTTCACGTCCGTGTCTTCCTTGATCTCAGCCAGCTCCTTGTTCAGACGCACAGCGAGAAGCACACGAAGGACGTGGAGAGCAGCGACCGGTGCATCGGCAGCCGCGGGAGCAGCAGCGGCAGGTACAGGAGCCGGAGCAGCTTGGATTTGCTGGACGGGGGCAGCGGCAACCGGTGCCGGCGCCGGAGCAGCCGGAGCCTCCTCAACCTTGGGGGCAGACTCAGCCGCAACCTTTGCAGCAGTGGCCGCAGCTTCAGCGGCAGCCTCGGCAGCCAGGCCACGAGCATACTCGGAAGCAGAAATGTTCGACGTCTCCTCCTCGAAGTGCACGACCTCGCGGTCACGCTGGTACCATAGAATCTCACGCGACACATCGGGGAAGTCACCAACCTGGAGAGTACGCAGCGCCATGTTCGTCAACGTCGGAGCAGGGCCAATCTCCACGAAGCGGCGAACTCCGCCCTCCGAGAACAGCAGCGCCTGAGTCTCGATCCACTGGACGGGGGACGCAAACTGGTACGCCAGCAGCTCCACCACAAGCAGGTGCGCGAGCTGAGCCTTCGACGTCAACTTCCACCGCATTGGGTCCAGAACCTCCTCCAGGTACGGACTCTTGGTCGCCGCGTAAACCTCCTCAAAGTACGAGCGCTTCAACGAGAACGGAGTCGCCACCAGGTTCGGGATGTAGCGGTTCACCAGAAGCGGCAGTTGACGTTCCAGCACCTGCGGATCAAACTTGGTACGCAGCAGCGCACGGAACGACGGTACACCACCAAGCAGCTCACGCGAGTGGAACGGCACGTCGATACCAACCAGCGGGATCGTCGCCAGGCCACGCGCCAGCGTAAACGGACGGTCAGTCTGCTCGCACTTCTCCTTGCGGGCACGAGCCTGCGCCAACGAGTCGGCAATAACCTTCTCCACGTCCTCAGCGGCAGTCGACTTCAACGTCTTGACGGCAGACAGCGCCAGCGACAGCGTCTCCAGATTCACGTTCTCACCAGCAACGACATACTGGCGCTGCTGGATGTTAAAGTTCACCACCTGCAGCAGCTTGCCCGAAGCAGCTTCAATGCCGTCCACGATCTTGTACATGGCCTCTTCAGCGAAGTCTGAACCCACACGCGTCGGATTGGTGGCAACCATACCGTAGTCCGAACGTCCCTCAGCATCGCGCTTCACAGACTTCTGCATGATCAAACCACGCAGGAACACAAAATCCACCACAGCCTCCACAGCCAGAGCACCAGCAAAGGAAATCAAACCAGCGTACTCACCGAGAGAGTGTCCAGCGAAGTAAGCATCATCCGGAATCAGCTGAGCAGCCTCAATCTCAGAGAACATGGCCTTCTCCAGCAGAACCAACGCAGGCTGGCTGAACTGCGTCGCGAACAGCAAACCTTCAGAAGCAGAGAAACTAAAGCTCTCAGTACCAGCATCAATCTCAGGAAGAAGAGCCGCAATCTCACCAGTAACAGGGTCCTCACACGTCAAGCTCATGTACTTATCGCGAATCTTAAGACCCTTCTTGCCACCAAAGTGAACAGTAATGGACTTTGGGTTCTTGCGCACCATTTCCAGGATTGAGAAGCCAAATGTCTTGCGCAGGTGAGCGTCACCACGGTTCCAGATATCACGAGCGACCGAGGACTCCTGGTAGCGGTCCATGCCCATGCCGACAGCAGCAGAGCCCTGGCCAGTGAAGACGAACGCCATCGACGCCTGCTTCACGACAGCACGCGCGCTTACCACGCGTTCACCAGAGCCGTTCACAACCTCCACCGACAGCACCTTCTTGCCGTTGTCGAGGCCGATGTGACGAGCCTGCATGAACAGCTTGTCACCCGGGTACACCATACCGTCGAAGTTGACGTCGTAGTCCACCACGTTGCTGTCGAAGCCGAGACCAAAGTTCTGGGTCACCAGGTCGCGCACCTTGGTCGCCGTCCACAGACCGTGCATGATCGGCTTGCCCTTGGGCAGGTGGCCCAGGATCGCAGCGTACTTGGAGCGGTGGATCGGGTTCAGGTCGCGAGATGCCACAGCGTACGCCAGAGCGTTCGTCGGGACGTTGATCTCCAGCGGTTTCTCCAGCATGTGCGAACCACCGTTAGAGAACATACCGCTGGCCTTGGCATCCTCAGGCTGCACCTGGCGCAAGAAGGCCACGACGGGGCTCTCGTTCACGTCGTTGCTCTTGAACTCGACCCTACCAAGCTCCACATTCGAGCCCGCTTCTTCACGGAAGAGCGTGCCAGTCACCTCCACCGAACTCAATGAACCGATCGACGCGTACTGCTTCTTCGTCGTCAGCTCGAACGACAGATGGTCGCCGACGTTTACCGAGGCCTCAGCAGCAAGCTTCAGCCACGACTTGGTCTTCAGGATCTCGACGTCTTCCTGGCGTTTGGGCACGAACGCATCCGTTGACTTGTCAATAGAGAACGTCGACTCGAAGTCGTTGAAGGCGCCGCGGATCAGGAACTCGCTGTGCAGCTCCACGAGAGGCTCAAGCACCTCCACCATCTCACTGTCCACCGTCTTGCGAGAGATGATAGCCACGCCGTGCACGATCTTGCCGCTGTCGATAATGCGCAGACTACCAACGTTCGACGTGCTCACCATGTCGTCGCCAGGCAGGAACGTGGCCGAAACCTTGCGCGACGACAGCAGCTTGTACGAGTGCTTGAGGTGCACCAGATCCAGCAGGTTGCCCTTCACCTCCTTGGTGAACACGGACTGGATCAGCGGACGCCACGACACGATCGTCGAGAAGTCGGCCGGAGCGCCCTCTTCGTCGTCACTCAGACCCAGAGCAGCACGGTAGTCAACAATGTCCTTCTTTGAGATGGAGAACTCGGCCGTAAAAGGAGACATGACGCTCTCCTCGCACGCAGCCTTGCACGACTCCTCCTCCTGGCCCTCAATCGCCACCCAGAAGCGAGCGTAGAATGCCTTCACCTTGTCGATGAAGCCGATGCCTTCGGCGTGGATGGAGCAAGATAGCTCCGGGTGGTACTGGAAAGCCATCTCCAGCGCCACGACACCAGCCGTCAGACCGGTCACGGCCGGACGCACCTCGTTCACAACGACTGAGATGCTCGCATCCTTCTTCGTGATCTCGATCACGGGGCCCGAAATGTCGATGGAACTGTCGAACACGCGAATACCAGCAGCGTCGACCACGTACTTCTGGCCAACCTGAGGCACAAGAAGCTGGCGGACCGGGTTCGCGAGCCACTTCTTCTCCTCAACGACGTGGGTCGACGAGATCAGCGCGCTTAGCCACTCCTTGTCACCCACGGACGCGGCAAGAGAAGCCAGCCACTCGTCAGCAGAGGGCACGGCGCTTTCGTCCGCGGAGATCGACAGTTCCACACTGTCGTCGGTCTCCGTGACCTCGACGTTAGCGATGTCCATTGTCTCCTTGACAGACACAGCCGTAGCAGCAGCAACCGCGCCGCTTTCCTTCACGACGTTGGTGAAACCAGCGGCTATGCCGTTAAGGATATCCGCCACAGGCTCGTCCACCACCGTGCTGTAGCGAACGGCCACGGGACCCTGGAGGATGAAGACGCGCTGCGCATCGCCATCCGGGACAGCGTCCAAGTCCTCCGAGTACCACAGCGAATCTTTCTTGAACCACGTCTTGAACTCCGTGTCGATCGCAGGCACAAAGTTAACCGGCTTGCCACCGGTGCGGCACAGATCCAGGAAGAAGTCGCAGTCCGGAACTGACAGCAGAGTCGATACGGTCTGGGGGTACTTGGCGATGAACGCAGTCACCGTTCCTCTCGGGTTCGTCTTTAGCTCCGACTGGTCGAACAGGTCGCCAGAACTTTCACGACGGAAACGCTCCTCCGTACGCGTGATGAACTTGCTCACACGAGAGAAGAAGGTGTCGTGCACCCAGCGGTGCGGCTTGCCTTCCACCTCCACGTACATCAAGTCGATCATACGCGTCAACACGTCGCCATACGACATCTCCTCCAGATCAGCAGGGACACTCTCGCCAGTCTCCACATTGCGCTTGCAGCCGAAGTACGGCTTCTGGTAGTCGGCATTCAGACGCGTGATGATGTCCTTCTTGTTGAGACGAAGGGCCAGCTCAACCTGGTCGCGCGGGATCGAGAAGTACTTGCCGTCGAACTCCTTCCACAGCAGAGTGCAGCGGTTCGCCACGACGTGAATGGGCTCGCCCAGCTCCGATGTGACTGTGATCACACCGCCAATGGCACCCGTGTAGCTCGTTTCCCACTCCAGCTCCGACTCGATACCAGGCGTGTCCACCAGCAGCTTCTTCACCTCCGGCGCAGTCGCAGCTTCCTTGGCAACCATCACGCGAGAGCCCATCAGAATACCGTCGGCAGGCATCTTGAACAGGTGGCCGCGAGCCAAGCTCCATTCGCCCGTGAGGTACTGCTTCGAGTCCTCCCAGTTACCGAAACCGGAGCCGACAACCAGCAGCACGTTCGACACGCGACGGATGGCGGCGTACGTCTCCTCCATCGGCTGGTGAAAGTCCTCGAAGCTGTGGTGACCACCAGCACGACCGCCAGTCCACTGCAGCATCACAGTCATACTCGGCATGGCCGCTGCGATCTCCAGCACAGCGTGGATGCCGTCCACCGAACCAGGCTTGAAGCACACCACGTTGATGCCCACAGCCTCCAGCTGTGACATCATCTCAAGCGCTCGCTCCTTCGTCGGGATACCAGCGCCGATAGTGATGCTTTCGATAGGCACACCACTGCGACGCATTCTCAGCACCATCGGGAACTGGAAGCCCCACTGCTTCGCGTTCAGGTACAACATGTTGATCGCAATGCCGAGACCGGGCTTGATCTTGGACACGAGCTCGTTCACGGCATCTTCGAAGATGTTGGGGCGCGACAGACCACCCGCAGCCAATTCACCGTGGAAACCAGCGTTCTGAATGGCCACAACGAGGTCAATGCCCTCCAAACTGGTAGTCGGCGTCATACCGGCCACCATAACTGGTGGCTTGTTCAGTGCGCGCGTGAATCTGTTGACTAGCTTGCCCGACTCAGTCACCTGCGGGCCGAATTTCTTCTCCCACGTCGCCTTAACAGAAGTGAACGTCGACAAAGCATCGATGAACTGTTGTAGGCCCACAAGAGGAGCGTATTTCCTTGAAAACTTCATCACCGTGTGCTTAACGGTCGCAACCACCACGCCCATGCCCAAGCCTTCCGCGATCTTGTTGCTCAGCTTGGCGACGCCGAGATCGGGGCCAAACTCCAGAACGTGCGTCGCGTTTGAGTGGTGTTCAGCGATCTTTGCCCACGTCGCCGTCCAGTCCACCAGCTCCAGTAGCTGCATGTTAATAAGTTCATCGACGACGTCGTCCACCGTCTGCAGGTTGGTGGCCTCTGCATTGGTCGCGTACACGGGAACCTGCAGTTGACCACCCTTGATCGCGCACTTGACGCGTTGCACGTCCTGCACCAACTTCGGCTTGGCCTCGGACAGCAATGGTGTGTGGAAGGGAGCCGAGAGCGGTAGGAACGACAGCGAACCCGTTGGTTTCCGCTGCGAGTGCGGGATACGTGTCTGGTCGGCGTCCGGCTTAGCAAACAGGCCCTCAAGCGCCTGCTTCAGCAGCGTCAGCGTCGCCGGAAAGCCCGTCACGTTCATCATGTCGGACGCATTGATAAGAGAGAGGTGCAGGTCGGGCGACTTGGTACGGCGCTTGGCCACCTCGATAGACTTGAGGACGTGCTTCTTCTTGAGCCCTCGCACGGCCAGCATCGGGCCGGCACCCTCAATGTTCTTGCCATCCTGCTTGTACTGCGTCAGCAAGTGCTGGTACGTCTCCTGCGCGCGCAGTCCCTGCCAGAACATGTAGCGCAGCACGGAGATGCCGATCTCGACGAACTCTTGAGCTGTTTTGGCCGCCGAGAAGATGACGGCGCTCACGACACCCTGGCTGTGACCCACGGCGGTGGCGGAGTTCTTCACCACGCTCTCGTGGGTCAATCCCGTAGTCTCGAGGAAGTTGAGGTAGTTGGCACACTGGGTAAGGACCAACAGCGGCATACTGAAGTAGACACGACTCATAGTCAACCCGACGGGTGCCTCTCCGACCTGTAGCCAGCTCTGCAGGTCAATCACCGCTTCAAAGGCGTTGGAAGCCTTGGTCTCGACCGAGCTGGACTCCTCTAGCAGCGCCTGTGCGGCTGCGTCAATAAATGAGCGCGTGATGCTTGTACTGGATGCAGTATAGAGCTTCTGCAGCTCCTTCCAGTAGACAGAGCCCTGGCCTCCGAACTCAGGAATGAATGTAAACTTGCCGGTGTTCACGGCTTCCACCACCTTTGCCATCTCAGCTAACGGTGTCTTGGTTGTGCTCATTGGGACGGCGCTGATGGTCGCCGTAGTGGTCACCACCCTCCGTGTACGCCTGCCCGTCTTGGTGGTGACTACTGTCCGGCGACTTTGACTCGACATGGTGGAGAAGGCGAAGGTGTAGATGGAGTAGATCCGTCGATGCAGCGTCGGCGGCAGATTGGATTGTGGTCTGTTTGCCAAGGAGTCCTTGGAGCTGGTGGGCTTCAACGACAGCGCCTGACAACTTGGTCATCGACCGCGGCTCGTCTTCCGCGTGCAGGCATCATCTGAATGACGCGAGTATTGTTGATCTACTGCATTGGCCCCGAGATGTACATGTACACACGCGCGGTGAGAGAAAACTGCGTACACGCAAGCGGGATCACCCGCGCCGGGGTCGCAAGACAGGGCGCAATGATTGCTTAGGTCAGTTGAGGGGCTCCGCTACCGTAGCACGTAGCGGCGCTACGTACGTGCTTCAGGTCCTGTGACCGCAGGTCACTGACCAGCAATAGCGCCGCATTGTCGATTGAAAGAAACTTCTGAGTGCGGGAGCTGCGAGGTATTCATGACAGCCGTAGTATGGCTACGGTGGTAGTGTTGGCTTTTGTTGGACAGATGTTGGGCATTTTACCTGCGGTAATTTACCAATGCTGTATTTTCGTCGTAAACTAAAAATTTGTTACATTGATAACGAAGTGCGCTTTCGGGCATACATATAGTGGCAGCTCGCTACAATGTACTTTAGCTCGCATGCTTTCAAGAGCATCTGCAACGCCGCCACCACGACGAGCTCATACACACGACGCTATCGGATATTTGCACAAAGTATTCGAATAAATTCATGCGAACTTTCAGGATGGCATCAACTTCGAGGTATCTCGTCGCAGGTGGTGAATTCTCCCACAAAGGAACAACATGGTGGAACACGCTGGTTCAGGCAATGATATTAGACGAATCCTCGACAAGTGCAGATGTATCCTGTACACTGACACTCCTGAAGTTGTAGTCCTAGCCCGTGGTGGCCAAGCGTGTTGCGTGAAAAAAAATGCTATGTGAATTTAGGTAAGTGCGAATGGCTTCTCTCCAAAATGGAGCTTTTTTTTTGCTTTCGTCTTTGGTCAACAAAGAAGAAGGAAAAAGGGCTGGTTTGGACAGAGTGTGAAAGTTTTTGGTGTTTACTGGTAAACCAACATCATGCTCAATACGTAGCGTGTGTCATTTTACACAGAGCCGGCATTAAACATCGATAGTAAGACTCCCCGGGTAAAAAAACTGGCATTCGAGAGTCCTCCGACAGCGCTTTCGTAGCGCCGCTTTGAAATAGTAAAATGATGATGATGAAAGTGGCATTCCATTTCGTTTTGAAGTCTATATATATACATGAAGACGAGAGCCCAGAACAATTTTTTATTTTATTGTAAGAGCACTGGACGGAGGGTACTTGACGGCTGGGTTTTCCCATAAGGTCGCAAATAGATTGTCGAGCATTTGATGTAGAAATTCAAGAAGAAGCGTGAAGCTTCTTGGTTCAGTTCTTTCCTCAATCTAGAGTTAAGAATTACAACTCGCAAGAGGGGTTTATCAAGCAGGGTTCTTGTTGCTAGTTCTGTCATCGCTTGATGTATAGTATACGCGGCTCCGATCAATCTGTGATCCTTGGGCTAGAGCACATGTCCATTCAGACGCAATAAGGAAATTTGGGTGATCATGGAGGCGGCCTTCTGTTTTAGTTTCTGTAGAAGCCTTGTATGCATGTACCACTCGAGTACTTACGTATGCAAAAGAGAGAGCAAAATTCTACAAACGCACCTGTATTATCATACATCTCGAAGCAAGAAAAAAGAGTTTTCATTTGACGGTCCTTCTGGAAGTCACTAATATTGTTCGAAATGCGTCATCGTCAACTTCCTCCAGCTCAGTTGATTAGCAGAGACACACGAAGTAGTTCAACCGTCAGGGCGTTCTAGGATGGGACGTGGAAAGCAGAGCTGGAGACGATGTTCTGACGGCAGATCGGGCACGAAGGTCGCGGTAGTTGCTGAACGCAAGACGCGCAGTAGATGTGTCCACACGGAATCAACACGCGGTTCACCTGGTTCTCCAGACACACTGCACACACAAGCGAGTCTTGCACTTCCTTCTTCTCACGGATCACTGAGTCGATCTGCGCAGCCGCCGCACGACGACCAGCTTCGGCCACCTCCAGATGGCGCTGCAGTCGAAGGTTCTCAGCCATCAGGTCCTCGACGCTCGTATCCAACGTCACGTTCAGGCGTGACAGCAAATCGTTCACAGCCGACAAAACGTTCGCAGTCGACACCACCGCTGCGGGTGCATTGACGCTTGAAAATCCGGGCACAATTTCGCTGCCTTGTGTTTCTGGAGCAATCGCTACGACCGATGCAGGTAACGCTACGTTCTCCAAGTGGTTGGTTGTATGGTTCTCAACCATTCTTCCAGTCTGTACACCAGCACTGCTGCCACTGGTTCCCACCCGAGCGGAGCGGAAGAAGTGCAATTGCGTGGCTAGCATCCATCGTGTAGACGAACTACTCACCTTCACGTCGTATCGGCTTACTCCCGGTATGTCACTGGGTTCTCCCCTTAAAATCTTGCCGTAACACAACGTTCCGTTTTCATCTTCTACCGCGATGAGCTCTCCAGGCAGACAAGAGCGCAATGGCGCCAGCTCCACATTCGCACAGTCAGAGTCGCACAAAGGCTGTCCCAGCACTCCACGAAGCTTTTCAACGATCAATACGGGGTCTTCGTAGATGTCAAGCTGCTGAAGGACGTCAGGGATCTCCATCTCATCGCATGTCAAGATGGACTCTAGCACGGAGCAGTCCTGCAGCACTCCCCCAAGGAGCTGGTTGATGCATCGAGCGACCAAATGACTCACACGCATTCCCTTCTCAGATCGCGCCTCGAGTGTACGCTTTGTAATGTAAATTATTCTTCTCGTCTGGTCCAAGAACGACAAACTGCTCTGGCGCTCGGTCTTGGTCACGTCAACTCTACGAGCAGGGAAACCCAGCTTGGCAATGAAGCGCGAGTGCAGCTCCGCCACGCATTTCACTTCGTACTTCGCCAAATTCATGATCCGTTGGTTGAGGTCTTCAAAGTCGGGGATAAATCCAAACGCATCGTACGACGATGCCTTCTGCTGTTGCGCCGTGATGATTTTACGCAAACCGTCAGCGAATTGCTGCGAGGCCAACACGCTGTTAAAGTGCGCGATATCGTCACTAGCCAGCAGTTCAGTCGGATTCTCGCCACCATCTAACTCTTCCGTTACAATACTGGTAATTCCTGGTACTTCCAGCATCTTACAGCACCTTGTGCTAATACGAGGGTGAACCACATGGAGCTCCGTAAGATCAACACTTGAACACAGTGATGCAGAGTCGTTAAATGCCATCACCAACATCGACTGCATAACTGCTGTACCCGACGGAAGAAAGATGCTGTTCTTCTCCTCGCGCGAAAGGCGATAGTTAGATTCGGCCATTGCAGCGACGAGAAGATCGATGGCACGAGCAGCTGCGACCAGTTCATTCAAGTTGAGAGAGTGACCACAGCATTCATCCTTCAGGTCGCGTAGCAGCTGGATGTAATCGCTCACTTCAGGGGCTTCTTTCGAGCCCATGTATCCGAATAGCGTGTCGTACGCACCAAATACTCGAGGCACTTCAAACATCAGCGGTGCCAGATTCTCGCCCAAACGAATGAATAGACGAGAGCCCTTCACCAGAGTCGAACCAACTGGGATGACTGCCGCGTTCGCGAGGCGTTTCTGGGTTTCTGGTCCCAGTTCAACCCAGTTCTCCTGCAGAAACTTGAAAATTGCTTGGAACACCTCGACCATAGGCAAAAAGAACTGCCAATCTAGTGACCGGGACGACATGGCACGATCGCCATTCGTAATGGTCAACAGGTGCTTTACGACTTGATCTTGAGGAGGTGGAGATTTTATCCCCAGACGACTGTAAAGTACGCGTGGTGGTAGCGCTACGTTTGCCAGAATCGGCATAGTAGAGTAGACTAGCGCCTGGTCATCTGAAGTAGCACAATCAGCGTACTTGCGGACTACCGAGCGAGACGTAAACTGTCCTTCACGCTTCTGACGATCGACTGCAGCTCCATTCGAAGACTCCAATTCGTTTTCATACACAACCGCCGGGACGAACGACAGCGGCGTTATTCTATCGAAAAATGACCGAGATCGGTCAAACTTGTCAAAATTCTGAACGAAAAACTCGTGCAATGTCGTAATGAGATGCTCGTCTTCAGGCGCCAATGCTTGTTTACCCGAGAACTGTCCGTCGATGCGTAGCGCACACTCCACAAATATCTCGACGGTAACTTCGGTTTGTAGACCAATCTCACCCATCAGATCCAGCCACTCTGGCGTTCGATAGCGTTGCGCTGGAAATTGTCCGCGAACATCGGCATAAATTGTGGCGAGCACCTTGTTTCGAGGGTCGCAGTACGCACTTGCTGGGTGATAGCTTGCGCCTTCACTTTCATCGTCGCGGAATAGAGCCGATGTCTTGAGTAGAGTCGTCAATTCGGCATTACCGCGGAGTGATTGCCACTTCTGAAGAAGAATGTGCATCACCTGGTCACGCTGGGACTCGAGCAGTCCATTAAACATTGGAAGAATATAGATCAGGAGCTTGCTGTCACTCATTTCATCCACGCCAAGCTCCTTGTAGAACGCATTTAGGCGTGGATTACTCTTGAGAAAGCACTGCTGGGCATCAGGAGGCAACGGAATGTCCGTCAAGTTCAGTTCCGTCGGGATTAAAAAGAAATCTTGTCCACCGTGAATCGCACAGGGTACGTCGCAAATATTCACGAATATTGGTAGTTGTTTGAGCTTTTCCAGCTGGGCGCGGTTGTAGCCTCCGTTGGTCTCGCCGTTGTGCGCGAAAAACTCGGCAATAAGCACTGCACATGGTTCAGTTAAATCCTCCCACGCAAGTTCTTCCCAAGCTGAGGCGAAAACTCCGTCCAGAACGGCCAAACCCACTTCAGCGGATCGTGGAACGATATCGCGCTCCTGACCTCCAAGATACGCTAACTCCATCATCGACACATTTAGTTCCAACAGAATGTTATGAAGCGTCTCGCGACTGCAGAACTCGTGTGATTCATCCTCGACCGGATACACGGGGACTGCGAAACCTTCGCTAATGCCACCACTTTCATCGTCTTCTTCATCATTGCTGATGTCCTCTAGTGCCACTACTAAAGAACCGGGCGATAAAGGTGTTTCTCCGGAAGAATTTCCGCTTTCCACAACGCTTTCTGTGTTCGAGTTACGTTCTTCGCCCTGCGTTGATGATGAAATATCTTCCACCTCGACAGTAAGATCGCCTTCATCCGAAGCGGATACACTGTCATTGTCACTTGCAACGTCTTCATCGTCATCCACTTCTCCCCTTTCTTCGTCATCCGAACTTTCATCAGCTAGTTCATCCTCCTTTTTGAGCTTTTCAGAGCTTAGCTCCATCAACCGCTTGCGTTCAGCTTCCATGCCAGCCATCTTCTTGTCTTGCTCCGTAGTAGAAGCCAGAAATGCCTCTGCAACTTTTGCAGCTACCTCGTCGTCGGCTGAGCCGTCCCAAACGCATACTGCCATATCCATTTTAGCGCAAGAAATCAGTCGTGAACCCTTCACCGGGATTAAAGGCCAGTTCGCAAAATATCCCAAAGATCGACGCTCGAAGTGCACTACTTGCCAGAAGCGGTAAAGCCACAACTGATCAATCTCAACCGGCGAACTTGGATCCCAGTCAACAACTGCTCGGTTCTTCCAGGACGAGGGTAATACTCGCTCAATATTATCTGCCAGAGTCTTGATGGAAAAAGAAGTAAGCCCGAAAATGGACGTGAACCGAGTCTCCGAGAAATACTTGTGCAGTCTTTGGAACGCCGCAAGAGACACAAACATATTCCCAAGTGGCCGGAGCAACTCGATTTGGTTGAACGACGCGAGAATGTAGCTCGTTCGCCGTTGATTCACTCGAAGCACACCAATGCTTCCATCTTCTAGTGGCAGCAGCGATAGGCCATGGAATTCGGTCCATATAGGATCCGCTTCACTTGGCAACGGAAATGGCAAATCACTCAGGCAATACTCGAGCAGAGATAAGCAGACGTCGGAGAGGACCTCCGAGCTGCTCACACTTCTCAAAAAGCGACGCATAACTCTTGGAGTGACCGAGTAAATCCGTGACGGCAAGAGGCGAGAGCAATCTTGCAGAATTCTGGCCGGTATGTTGAACGCTGGAAAATGCAGCTGAGCAAAGGAGGCCACCTGCACGTGCACGTGATCATAGGAGTTCATTAGCACTATACAGAGTCAATTCGACAGGTTAAGCTTAGTGTACCTGAATATTCATGCCGCCCAAATCAAGTTGATAGCCGCTACTCAGCGCACGGAAGACGCCGTCAGTGCATAAGAACAACTCTCGTGTAGCAACGGAATGGTACGTATGCGCCTGTACGAGAGCGCCGAGTTCTTTATCACCTCGCTGCTAAGAGAAATCAACACGTTAGTACAATAGCAAGATGCAGCGACTCTAAAACCCTCAGCCTTACCTGTTGTAATGTCGGCCAGATTTTGTAAAGCGCCCTGGGGAAAGAACTTTCGTAGCGCCGCTTTGCAACCATAAGAAGCTTTGCATACGCGTCCGAGGCACCATCTTCTAATAGAATGCGGTTCCATCCAGCTGCGACCTGTAACTCGCTGCCGCTTGCGCCACCAGAATCGCCTTCTCGACCCGCTTGGTTCGGAGCAGCCAACACCAGTTGCTTGTCCTTAATGGTCTTCTTGAAGCAACCATTAATGTGGACGGGTAGCCCCACCTTTTGGTGCGTGTCCAAGATCTTGTACACACGACCCCGAAGTCGAGGAGCTGGCTTACCATCGCGAAAAATATGACACGCTACACTCACGTACGGCAACGAGTGAAGCATTTCATGAACTGGGGTGCATGCCAAATCGCGGCTTCTCCCCCATCCAATGTTGTCTGCGAACAACCAAGTATCGCGGTGCTGCCGATTCTCTAACTCAAGGTTGACCACGAACTCCATTTGGTTTTCAGGAATCTGTGGAGTCTTGAAGAAGCTCTGGAGTGAGAATCTCTTCTTCCACTCCTGGTTTTGCCGTGTTATGTTGCGTTTTCGAATCGTACGTTCAGGTGCTTCTAAGTATACCTCACCATGGCAATGAGATGCAAACTCGGATTCCTTCCCCACACTCCACAGCGAAATACGGTGGACGCACTCCGTAAATATCAGCGTATGGTACAGTTGCGATTTCAAGAATGCAACCAGTTTGTCTACTTCCTTTGTATCCAGCACATAGGCCGACACAGCTGATGCAGACTTGCGCCAGGGGAACCGAATTAACGTACTCTGCGTCCCTTGCGACACGTTACTTGGACACGAAGGCAGCGTAGTAAACGGTAATAGCTGGTCTGGGTATCGTACAAAATCTTGGCTTAGCACTTCATACCGTCGACCGACACTTGTTATCCGACCTGAGGCTGGCGCTGATGATGTCGTTGTCCCAGCAGATGAGGACAGATAGCAACCAGTCGGATCCAGCACGTAAAACCCCTCACCACTGAGAATTTGCATGCAGTCTGACACAGTAAAGCCGCAAAGAAGCCCCGCGCGTGATGACTCTCCTTGGAACAGGTTGTTAATATCGTTCTCGCTCAGCACCAGGCCGTGGATGTGAATGCACAGTGCTTCATCTTGAAGCGGTTGCAGAGACGGCTGGATCACACGCTGCGACGAGTGATGTCGGCTATCCAGGAAAAAGTCCACTTGCGAGCCTCCAAATCGCTCTGTGGCAAGGATCGTTTCCCAAAGGAGTGTGTGGAGCCATTCTGATCGAAGCGGCAACACGCTCTTTAAGGCATCAACTGGCGGACACACAACACGCCGACTAGTCACTGATGTCTGGGCCAGTGTGGAATGCAACGAAGCAGCACCCAACAGTCCCGCTACAGTTTTAGGGACTTTATTTGATACAAACGTTGCTCCCCGTCGAACTTCTCGTGAGTCGTTCCATTCCATGTCGTCAAAGGTCAATTGCGCGGCAGAAACAAGACGATTCGACTGATCCAGCAACACCATTTCCTGTGATACGAACGAGCCCAGTGCTGACTCCAATGACGACGTGTCGTCCGCGACAGTTTCGTAGATTTTCAGACATGCCGCGACTTGCTTATCATGCAAAACTATGTTTCGTGGTAGTCTCATGATCGCCTCTAAGTAATCGACTGTATCGAAATAGTTCTTCAGCCCAAAGGAAGCAAGGAGCGACCGCGGGATAATATGCTCGCTCGGACAGGAGTACAACAGAGGCTCCAAGGCAGAGTCAGCCTCCACAGCAATTTGGCAAGGATATGCAAACCCCCTGCCAGTCCAGATCCAAAAAGCATTCGCCAATTTGCGATACACGGGCGACGTTTTCCAAGCTTCTTCGTCTGCGAGTCTACAGCTTTCCAGCTCCTCATACATCAGGTGGACTTCTGATAATGGAAAGCGCCAGCTGGGCAAAGTGGAAGACGCTTCAGCATCCTTCTTGCGGCAGTATTCTTCCCATTGGAACGCGATGGCTTCAAGCTGCTTTGCAATCACGAAAGAATCGACTTGTTCATTCCACCCGAACGCACCGATGAGTTCTTCTGACGTAAGCTCGCCATCCAGAATATCCATTGAAGACGAACAAAGCCACTAAGAGACACATGAATGAGAAGCAAAATACACACAGATTAGTCGACCTCTCCCAATCAGATCAAATAACACAACAGTACGTACCGCATCTTTTAGTGGGCGTATCTTCGATGCATTTGACAGAGTGGGTCGATGATCGACACTGCCGGTTGACCTTTTCCATGGCATCGCGGGGTCGGGTGATTCTAGTCGAACAGGTAACCATTTAACGTCTTTCAATTCCGCCACAATGTCCAGTATTGCTCGTCTTTCGCTGTTTTCTTCCTGCTCAGCGATGGAATCATTTGAAGTTGTCTCCGACATCATCGCATCAAAATGTTTGTTGACAATCGATAGCAAGCTGTGAGCCTTGACGCACGCCTGGTTGGCAGAATCGTCACTGCTTTCTCCATACATCGCCTCAATGGAACGTGCACTTTCCAGCACGGCATGGCAGGATAAACCAGTACGAAGGCCTAGCGACCGCAGAATCTGAACCATCAATGGAGTTGAGAATGCTTGAGCTGGAAGACTGTTCTCTCCAACTAGGTCACTCAGCTCGCTCACACTTGGATCGTGAAGCTGACGGACTTCACGAAAAACTCGCTTCCTGGATGGAATGACAGCTTGCGTTGCAATAACATCGCGAAATCGCGAGTCGTTTCGCTGGTGATACGAAAGTGTCTCCAGTGCACCAACAATTACGGAATCGACCAAATCTCCATCTCGTTTTTCCAGTTCATCCAACCGAGGGAAAACATAGTCCAGCAAGATCCTCGTGTCGGTCCATTCATCGATCCCGCAGTCGCGAAGAAACCTCCTCAACGACTCCTTCTCAGCATGGAAAAAGGAGTCATCAAGAATTCTGCTATCCGCATTTGTATCAGGTAAGTACCCCCCTCGCCTCAAGCTCAGGAACTGCGCACTGTTGTTGTCTTGAGCACTTGCTGCGGTGAAAACAGAGTTCCTGTACACAGGAAATATGGGGAGTTCGAATAGAATTGGCTGCAAGTCGTTTGACACGGTGTCAAATGTGTTCTGAGCGAAGAAGTCACACAGCACCTGCCGCTCAGTCGCCGTTGTTGCAGCGAAAATGTCGTCGAAACTTTGTCTGTTGTGTTGGAACTGGTGACGGCTTAAAGCTGCTAGAAGTCCATTCGAAGTCAACTTATGGGTATATTTGCGTGCCAACAACCACTGCTTGCTCCTCTCACCGTTCACGTACGACATATCCACAATATGAACGCCAACTTTCGCCAATACATGCTGAAGTTGAGAGAGTAGTTCCGGCGACAGCGGAGATGATTCCGAAGGAGGAAAAACGAGACTGATGCTTGCAGATAAGCAAACCCATCGGTTTCCTTCGTCGCAAACGATGGGAATCAACGGCCACTTCATGAAACTTTGGGGTAGTTGTTCAAGTGTCTGTAACTGAGTCTCCGCATACGTCCACAGTAAGCGGATCCAGTCCTTTTTGGCTTGCGTTTCATCCATTGCTGATGTCGATGTCAGAGCAAACATATCCTTCTGAATTTTGCTCCAGCAACGACCCAATACGTGGGGCAAGAAACTCTCCAGTATGGTTTCGAGGCTCACCACACCAAGATTTGAGTTCTCGTACACAGCAGGCAATTGATCAAACAACTCCTTAAACTCTCCACGCACCACACGATGCTGAAAGTCTGCCAGGAGCTCTTCTTCTATCGCATTTCCAAAGAAGAAGGTCAGCTGCTGCTTCCTACTTGAATCCGTGTCATCGTTCGTGTCCGTGAAGCAAAGTCTTTCAAATTTCCCGTTTTTTAGGGGCAGCAGTGGTAATTGGTTAAGAGCTTGAGCCGCAAGGAGGTTTGAAGGGCCCAGGCAATCCGACATGCAGAACTGAACAACCCGTTTGAGACCGTCCTGATTCAAGACAGATAAAAAATCTCCCGTTCGCGTCAGTTGCCGGAAAAAGCCAGGTGTCATTGCTCCATGAACAGCATTCAGCTGGATCAACAAGTTGCGCAGAGCCACGGGTAAATGCACGGTCGCTAGTGACACGGTACCCAGTGCAGCTTCAAGTGTTTCCCAGTCGGTCAGACTGTCATCTACCAAGACACAAGAACTTGGAGCGACAGATCTCCTGGGGGCTTCCACGAGTGTATTACTCATCACTTGGCTTGGTGACGCGAAGAACATCGGTTGGTTCTTCATAATGCGAAAAAGTTCGAGCACAACGCTGTCCCAGGGACTGGCAGGGAGATTCGTCGGAAAAAACGGCAAATACTGAGAGAAATCCCCTTGACTCATAGCTTTCGCTTCCAGTAGGAAGGCTAAGTACGCGGGTGCGACTGCATCCACCAACAGATTTGCGTTCCATTCTGACCGCAATTTTCCATCACCACTCATATCATCTCCAGTCCAAATGTCACGTCGATTCGAGGACAATTCAAAGTAGCCATTAACGTGGACAGGTAACCCAACGCGAACAGGAAGGGGTAAAAAGCAGAATGCACGACCTTCCATCGGCTCTTCGTCAATTCGACTGGCAATGCCCACCCACGGAATGAGCTTTAAAGACTCGTTTTCAGCAGCACAAGCCATGTCGCGTGCCTTCCCCCCACCAATTTGGTTGCATACCAAGTATTTCTCAGTAGTCTCCTCCATCCGATGATCCATTTCCACCTCTGATTCTTGGTGGGATGTCACTGTACCAAAGCGGTGGAACGAGTCTTGAAGTTCCTTTTGTTGTCGTCGTCGAATGTGGAGCACCTGACTCACAGAGGGAAGCTCTTGTGTCGGCGTGGAGCGCAAGCGGGCATAGAACTCTCTCTTAGCGGACAACTCCGTCGTACCAGAGGTGCTTTCAGTATTCCTCATAAATCGATCGATTTCTCGCCATGATTCGCCGCGATCTTCTTCGGGCACTTCTGCATCATACAAAAGTACAGGTGATTGGTCGATCTCTGGTTGGAAGTAAACTTCCACCTTGCGGACGTTGCGCAGGAACAACAATGTGTCAATAATCGACGCCTGGAAACTTTTGAACAACTCCACAATTTCGCGGTGCGAGTAGCCTCGACGTTTGATTTCGCTGCTTTCTGCGAGTGTACTATCACGGAGCGGAAAGCGGAATAACGTACCCTTGTAATGGTGCTCTAGGTCGCATCCAAACACACCCTTGAATGGCGCAAATTGGTCCGGGAATTGCTTCACGATGTTGGCGTTTGCGAAACGAATCTTGATTCCAGGGTTCACAGCTGATATGCCGGGCAGGTGGGTAGCATGAGGGTCAAACATCACTGCATGAAACGAATACATTAAAATCATTAGTAAATCACCACAGACCCCCTTATTAAAGCAACAGTAAGTGACGCACCAATAGACTTGGCTGAAACAATCGAAGGCAGGTCTGTAAAATGGTACACCGAGTTAAATCCAAGTCCAAACCGTCCTGTCGTAGCGGCCCGTTGCAGCTTGCTGGCCTGACCTATGCGTGCAAGGTTAATAAAATCTCCATCGCTGAACTCTGCATCGTTATACTGCAAACACACACACACACACACACACACACACACACACACGGCATGGTCAAACGATTGAAAATGTTGCAGATACAGAAAAGGAAAAACGTACGCAATAGAGTGCTGGTCCCTGCCACTTCGCCATAGCTGGGCTTAACAACGAAGAAGTCCCGTACGTGCAGTTGTTGTACAACACAGCGACGCGAGTAGCTCCGGCATCATCTGCGTTTTGAATGAGCTCACTGATGATATTTGGTCCATCGGGGTACTGCTCCAGGATGTGCGCAATTCGCTTTGTCAGCGCTTCTGTCTGACCAAAAGCCTCGACATCCCCGAAAGACATGGCTTCGTGGCCGCTCTCATTCAACAACTGGTTGCGTAAGGACCGAGATCCAATTTTTGCAGCGACTTCATTGGAGATTTTGGGGTGAATAAATCGAATGGACCCTGAAGAGGTCTCGTAATCATGTTCATCCAGCCAGGGAGCATCATCATACGTCAAACTTGCTGCGAATTCCAGAACTCCATCTCGATCAGGAGCGAACAACTCATAATCAGAGTGATGCTGGAGCGTGTCGCTAATCAATTGAATCAATCCGATCGCTGTCGTCAGTCTATCACCCGAGAGGGGGGCAGCCTTAGTGTTCCCTACTTCTGACGTTACCCCAGCTGAGCAGTCCTTGTACATAGATCCAAGAACGTGAACGTAATCTGCCAGTGCAAACCTTTCTCGGACACCAATCGCTCGTAAAAAGGGTCGGAAATGAAGCAGCTCATTTGGAACCGTGTACAAATACGGTTCAGCGTTCACAACAGCAACGTTGGCCACGTGGTTTGCCGACACAAAGCGGTCACCAACCCATACGTACTTGCCGTTTCCAGACAAAACTGCTAGCACCTGGCTCCGGCGCCCCCCCAGCTCAGTCTCAAAAAACACCGATAGTACCTGGTATATGTTGTACACCGCAGACCAAATCACGTGCGTGTCATTGTCAGCACCAGATTTCAGCTCGCCACAACCCTGCACTCGCTGGGCGTCGAATAGTAGCGAGATCTTCTTTAGCTGAGCAGCGATCGTCTCAACTGGTACAAGTTTATCCCACCCCAGCACGTCTCGTAAGACTTCTGAATGCACCGAGCACTTAATGATGTGAAATTGAGATGAACAAAGCCACAATTGTTTTGTCGGCCGGGATTGCTGCGACGATGCGACGATAATTCGCTCCCCTTGTTTGTACCACGGTGCTGCGGGGTGTGGTTTTTCCTCATACACTGGGATCCACACGATAATCGCTAACTTCGCTTTAAAGTCTTCAATCTCAGCTCTCTCCATCGCCTGCCCCTCCAATTCTTCTGCAGTTGGTACGTTGTCGTCATGGAGCGAGTCAAGTCCGCGTAAACGATCGTCACCTATGAAATTTCGTAAAAAGCGCATTCCCTTGCTCTTTTTGCTTCTCTTTGCATGATTCTGCGGTTTCCGCTGGAGTGATGTAGGAGTTACTAGCTGTTCCATGTGTATGTCGACGTACTGAAAGAATTTGACGGAACGGGTGCGCAACTTCTCACACGTAGCCTCCAGTTCAGCGTCGTCTTTCAGCTCAGCGCTGGCGGCTGTGATCTTCATTTGGTCGTTCTCCAAAGACACCGCTAGAGACAAAATGGATCGTCGGGATAACGTACGCTGTAGTCCAATAGATCGCAGCGCAGAAAGAGGCTGGGGATCTTGAAGATCAAGCGCTGGGAAGAACGAGTCATCCATGATGTCCATGAACTCGTCGATTTCTGGGTCATACAAGTCGTCAATGCATTTCAGGTCTCCTGTCATTGTCGGGAAAATCGCTGCAGTCTCGAGAATACTTGACAGAATACCGTCGTGATCTTGCGCTAGCAAGGAAGATAGTTCTAGCAGCAGCTGGTACACAAATTTTACGCGAGCATCGGGCTTGATGCGATTGAAACGCGGAATCAGGTGCTTTGCAAAAAGCTCGACTTTAGAGATCCGTCGAGCACCAAGGTGTGCCAGAAATTCCGCCAGTACTGCGTCGCCTTCTTTCACAAAAACGAAGTTGTCATCGAGAAATTTCGGAGCAATGCCCACGCATAGCAAAGATTCGTGATGGTGCTCCTCGATCTCCGCCAGTGACACGAACACAGGAGAAAATCCACTGCCCAAGCTATCAATCTCTTCTTCACTGTTCATCCACTGAGTACCTCGCTCTTCAATACGGGGAATCGTCCGAAACCCTGGAAATATCGGCAACTTGCAGCAGATTTGCTTGTGGCTCGCGCCAATATCTTCGATATCTCCAGACATTAAAAACTTAAGCAAGTGCTCCCTGTCAGACTTCTCGGTGCGTTCGAATAATGCCTTCGCCTGAGCTGGTAACGTCAAGCCTCCTGCGCCTAAGGCCACTCCAATGCACGACAGCACACCGGCAGGTGTTGGCTGCTGAATATACTGCCATACCTCCGGGTTCGGCTGGAAAGATGCAAACAGGTTTGGAAGAAGAAGCCGTACTTGTATCTTTTCCAAGCACTCCAGGCAACCTTCAGGAATAAGCTCGGCACTCAGCACACCTGCTGAAGCACTCAACTGCGCCAGTTTGTGTGAAGATGTTGGCACAATTGGCCACTTATCATTAAATGAGGATAGGTGCTTGCTCTTGCCAATGTAATTCCAGAGATGCCGAAACCATTCCTCATTTGGTTCATCACGTTCACCTGTTCCGCTCCACGGAACCACCAGCTTTCCAAACCACGCAGCAGGCAATACCACTGCCAGCATATCTTCAAAGCCTTGAAAATCCAGTTTTTGCACGTTAAGCTGCTTTTGCGCCTGAACCGTGGACAGCAGCTTTAGTTCATCTGCACCAATAGCGTCGATATGCATTAAATGACCACGTGCTTTCTCCAGTAATTCCAATTCCTCGCGGTTTGGGATGTATAATGTGATATTGGCTCCTTCTCCACTTACAATCGATGGATTCGGATTCTGCAGCAACCAATTGAGCGCCACTTCCACTCCATTGTCCCCTGCCACCGCTAGCGCGAACACTGCATGCTGTCGCGTAAATCCCATGGAACACAGGTACTCAAGCTCATTAGGAACAACTTTAGAGCGATTTTCAAACACTCGAAGTGTTCCATCTGCCACCGGGAGAAAGTTGACACCGACAAGCGTATTTAAGCGGCTGGGCTCCAAGTCACTCAGCATAAAGCTTAACAAGCACTTGATAGCGCCTTGATCATCCGCATGACTTGAATGCTTGCTTTTGTATGCCTCTCGTACAGTTTGCGGTTCAACGTACGACGGAACCGTTCCCGTTTTTACCAGTACACGCTCAAGATCTTCGGCCAAGTTCCGGACAACAGGAAAACCGTCATCAATTAACAGTTGCTCCAGATGCTTCGAATTCAAGTAGCTGCTGCGAATCACCATACTCTCCGAAGGAGACACCCAGCGTCCACCTCCAACTTCACTGTACAAACACGGTTTATTGCGAACCAACGAGAAAAACGCGTACGTGAGAGAGTCCCAGGGCGCTGGCGGGAGAGCTTGTGGTAGTAGCTGGACGTGTTGCCTTGGCTCCATAACTTGATTGTTAGCCAGGTGTAATATAGCTCGAACATAACATGGCGCAATCACATCGCGGAGCAAGGCAATATTCCACTGTGCACGAAGCAAACCGTCCCCACTTAGACCCTCACCAAACCAAATGTCACGACGGTTAGACGAGAGTTCGAAGTATCCGTTCACCTGATGAGCATAGTAGAAACAAAATCAACATTGGTTAGCAGGTTTACACGTTTCCAGGCAGTGAATGCTTACATGCACAGGTAAATACGTATGGGTCGGCAGCGGCAAGAAACAAAAAGCCAAGCCAGACGTAGCAGTATTTGCGGAATCAGCAGTCGTTGACACAGCTACACCGCCCCACGGGACTAGACGCTGACTCGCATTCGCTGGATCGCATGCTATCTTGGAGCATTCTCCACCACCAAGCTGATTCATGATCAAGTACTCAAATTTCTTCGTCAAACCTGCGGTGCAATGCCGAGCTTCGATATTCAACGGATAGTCGCAAACGATTCCTGTACATGCAACGAATAATTAGAGAAGTCCAGCGGACAGACCAAATGTATCAGCAAGTACTGCATACCATCAGTTGAGAATCGCTGAGTGGCGGGTTGATGATTCGAGCTCAGACTTGTATGCTTCAGCGAGCGCATTGCTTTGATCTCCGACGTCATATTGCTGATCGACGCTTCGTGCAGAACAGTTGGGGTATCTTCTCCAGCTCTCCATTCCCATATCGATATCTTGCATACATTGCGTAAGAAAAGCAACACGGTCGGCAAGCTGTCAGCAAATTCCTTCAGCATTTCTGCCATTTTTGCAGGCGTTTGAGCACGATTCGAGAGCTTGCTTCGCTGCGCTTGCTCTTCTGTCCGAAGTGCAAGGCGAAAAATAGTTCCCTTGAGCGAGTAAGTAAGTAAGAAACGTTAATTACCATGAAATGAAGTGGGCGAGGAAGTGAGGCATCGTAACTTACCGAAAAGGGTTCCGAAAAGTTGCATCCAAAGCATCGGAACGGAGAGATTTGATCCGGAAAGTTGCTCACCAGGTTGGGATGTGCGATATAGTCGATCATCTTCCCTGGGTTACTCGGGTTGACGTTGGGTAAGTGGCAAGCCTATCGTGACAACCAAAACGCGATGCATAACTGCTTGTCAGCCCCTGTAGCTCTCTAACAAGTCTTAAGCAATGTATTTTACAAACCTGTGGGTCAAAGAAGACCAACTGCGAACCGCTAACGAACGCAGGAAGATCAGTGACATGATACACTGCGTCGAAGCAAACGAGAAACACCAAAACGTTTAAATGTTGACCCTTCTGTTGTAAAAAGCATATCCACGGAATACAAATTATTGTACCAGAGTTAAAGCCGACGCCAAAGCGTCCAGTCTTCCACCCTTTCGAGTTGTCCTTCTTTAGCGAGTCTCCGATGCGCTACACATCCCATTTAGTGACAAGCACCAATCAGTGTTCTACAGCCCTTTACCCCAGCAATGAATCTACCCTGCTCTACCTGAATCGACTGAAAGTCGGCATCACTGAACGTGGCGTTGTTATGAACCAGCAACGACGGACCTGGAGCGCAGTGACAGCCAAAAGCATCACAGCGATAGTTAGTACTAATTAGACTGGAAGACAAACGTAGTCTTCACTGACCTTGGAAGGATGCCAGCTTTTCGTATGCGAGGCCCGTCGCCGCGTGCTGGCGATAATCCAGACACAGGTTCACCTCCGTGGCGCCAGCATCGTCGGCATTCTGCACCATTTCCTTGAAGATGGACGTGCCCTCTGCAAGAAGCAATAGACGTCAACCCATCAGGAGAAATATCAGGGTTAGAAATGCGCTCCCCCGTTGCCCAGCGACTGCGTACCGGGATAGTTGCGCAGGATCTCGCGGATGCGCACCGTGAGGTCGATCTTCTGGCCGAAGTCATCACCAAAGTACACGTCCGCGTCCACCATGCCGACTCGGAAGAACTTGAGCTTGCAGTGAAAAACAAAGAAAAGGTGCTTTTTGACGAGAAAACGTCATAAAGCATTTTTCCTGAAAAAAGTTCTTGCTCATAGCTTGTGGCCCACCATAATAAAAAAAGATCAAAAGTGGTCCGAAACCAATGCGCACTTTTTTCTATACAAAGTACTTTTTATTCAAAAAGCCATTCCTTTCAGTGACAAACAAAAGCAAATCATCAATACTAAACGGGTGACACGGACGCCCTGCGGATGATCATCAGAGAAGATACTTCTAAACCGCTACATGAAATGGACCACGCCATTCGCCGCCTTTGCACGCTGGCGAAACACCAAGGTGTTCTGCCTCCACGGAACACACAAACGTTCATGCCTAGCAAACGCAGGAATACTGAGTCACACTCACCAGGAAACCGTCCATCCAAAGTGGGAAAGCACAGTCATACAGCAAAGCCGGGGAAGAGCGTGCGCAAAGACTACTCCAAGGCTCGCTGCGGAGAGTGCGGGGAGTACGGTCACACGACGGGCTACGATAACACCTACATCCGCCGGCAACACGGAGCGGCCCGAGCAGCATCACAACTGCCACAAGCAACTAAGCTACGGATCGATTGTCAAGCTCCGAGGATGAAGACAAGGGAGGATCCTCTGACACCAGTGAGAAAGCCTAGAGATCGCGGGAACTGCTGGAGATCCCACGTCATGTTCATGACCCGGGAATTGCCGGTAGTGCCCCGATAATCGATTCAGGATCAACTTACCACATCACAGGCGACCCATCCAAACTTTTTGACATTCAAGCGTGCAAGACGTACGCAGTCGAACTGGCCAATGGCAACTTGATAACAGGCAGGCAACGAGGAAAAATGAAACTCGACAGAGTCAACAACGTCGTATTGGACAACGTCGTCTACGCACCCGGTTTCAGTCACACATTAATCTCGGTGAAGCAGCTGATAGACAGCGGAAAGAAAGTGGAATTCACCGACAAGGAGCGTCTAGTGTACGGCAACCCTGTCCTATGAGGAGACATGACGCGCGGCGTATACACTCTGAAGATTCCACCTAAGCTAGCCCTGACAGCATTACGTCCAAATTCGATCGAAGGTTGGCACCAAAGACTTAACCACCTCAAGTATCGAGCAGTTGGTGAGCTGGCAAGATCCGGAGCCGTTAAAGGAATGAAGATCATTGGATCGACTACTCCACGGAGCACGTGCGAGATTTGTGTCAGAAGCAAGATCACTAAGGCACCAGCGCCACGAGCAGCCACGCGTTCCCCTGACGCTCAGGACGAAGTTTGTCACGGAGATCTGGCCGACCCCTTTCAGCGCAGCTACAATGGAAACCGGTATTACCTCGCACTGAAATGGATGGGGCACACGTCAGTATATTTCCTCAAGCACAAGAGTGACGCAGCCAAGAACTTCCAGACTTACATGCACATTGTGAACCGCAGATTCGACCGCCGGAAGACAATCAAGGTGTGCCGTTCGGACAATGGTGGAGAATTCCTTGATGGGGAGTTCCAAAAGGTTTGCGACGAGCAAGGGATATCCACGGAAATGTCAGAGCCTGAGGTGCATCATCAAAATGGAGTGACTGAACGTACGCATCGGACTCTAACCGAATGTGCACGAGCCCTCATGCTACAAACCGATCTGCCACACTACTTCTGGGAGTACGCTGCCCGCAGCGCTGTTCACACACGAAATCGAGTACTCACCAAGGGAGACAAGTACAAGACGCCATTTGAGAAGTTCTGGGGCAGAAAACCCGACCTTAAATTCGTGAAACCGTTCGGTCAAAGATGTGTTGTATTGGTTCCACCGGAGCAACGATCCACAAAGTTCCAGTTTCGACCAAAAGGACGCACGGGGGGTTTCCTGGGCAGCGATCCACAGCGAAAAGGCTACTTTGTCTATGTCACCGGACGAGGTCATCGAGTCGTACACAGCAGAAGCGTTGTTTTCCTCGAACCACCACAAACCCAATCTGAAAAAGATCGTGCCAACGGGGACGGAGACCCTTTCACAATCGTGGAAGGCGGGGAAGGCGGGGAAGCTGACGACGACTCGTACGAAACAAATGACCAAAACAACAACAATGGTGACTACATTGAAGAAACCAAGAGAAGGCCAGGAGGATTGATGGAGGTCCAGCGAAAGCGAACACCAGTCCAGCGACAACCTCACACATGATTGGAGCCTCGTCGGTCGGCTCGTATCGCTGGCAGGGCACTCACAGCTGCGGGGGCAACTTTGGACGAAATCATCCAGGCACCCATCAACCTTCGAGAAGCTAAGCGTTCAAAGGACTGGCCCAAGTGGGAACGAGCTACTCAAGAAGAGATACAAGCGCTACGCGACAAGGAAACCTTCGAAGTGGTGGAACCGCCCCCAGAAGCCAACATCATCGGCAGTATGGTCGCGTTTCGCGTCAAGGTAGGAGGAGATGGAAAACTTGAACGCCTGAAAGCACGGATTTGCGCACAAGGATTTACACAAGAGTTCCTAAAGGACTACTTCGAAACTTACGCTCCCGTGTCCCGCTTGAACGCGATCCGCACATGACCCAGAACGGCATGCGCGTGCGCCAGGGTGATATCCCCACGGCGTATGTGAAGGCATGGTTGAAAGAGACGATATATGTCCGTCAATCGAAGGGATTCGAGGAGGGTAGCCCCACCAGCGTATGGAGGCTCAAAAAGGCACTCTTCGGTCTCAAACAGGCCGGAAGAGAATGGAACGCAGAACTTAATGGCTTTCTCCTGCAGTGCGGGCTGGTAGCAACTCTAGAGGACCCATGTGTTTACACACACCCTTCCAAGGAACTAATCGTCTTGATCTATGTTGATGATGTCCTCATAGGTTACCAAGATGAAGCAACACTGAAGATCCTAATGAACGCACTTCAACAAGTACGGCATCAAAAACTTGGGCGACGTGAACTGGTTCCTAGGCATCCGCATCAACATGGACGTTCAACGAGGAGTCACGACACTGGACCAAAGTCAGTACACCGAAGAAGTGCTCTGTCGATTTGGTATGCTCGGATGTCGCCCCAGAAAAACTCCAATGGACAAGGGCACTATCCTCTACAAGCGTACTGAAGAAAATGAAGCTGCCAAGGATGTTCCCTATCGACAAGCAGTAGGGGCGTTACTGTACCTTGCTCGTGTAACAAGGCCAGATATCTCATTTGCGGTCAACCAAGCTGCTGCTCAAGCCTCCAACCCGTCCAAGACCCACTGGGACGCCGTCAAAAACATTTTTCGATACCTCGAGGGAACAAAACAACTTGGAATTATTTACAAGAGGAACCCAGTGGCTACTGGCATTAGGGTCTATACGGATGCTGACTGGGCCAACGATGAAGATGGCCGCAAGTCGATGTCTGGGGCAGTCGTCTACGTCTATGGATGCCCCGTGTATTTGCACACCAAGCGACAACGCGTGGTCTCCAAATCCTCGACGATCACCGAGTACTTTGCTGCGGACGATGCAGTTGAAGAAGCGAGATGGACGCAGATGATCGTGTTAAAGATCGAGAAAACTACAACGTTGACGAAGATCTTAGCGATGATTGACAACAAGTCGACAATTAAACGACTCACCAACGGGAAAAACTCGGAAGCACAAAAGACTGTCGATTGCAAATTCTTAGCCATTCGAGAAGCGATCGAGTCCAAAAAACTGGAACTTCGGTACTGCCCGACAAACGAGATGTTAGCAGACGGATTAACCAAGCCATTACCTACAACCAGATTTCACGAACTTCGGCACAAGTTTGGAGTCGTCGAACTACCAGTGTCGAGCGCTGGCGGGGAAGTGTTGGAGCAACCAGCTTCAACCCATGGTAGGTTGTGACGACATGCCAACCAGGGATGACACCAGATAAATGTTCTCCCAGGTAATCTCGAATATATATGCCACTTCACGATTTGCATCACAGGGAGTAAGACTTCTTTATTCAATCCACTGAGCTAGCAAGCATCAGTAGTTCCAACAGAAGCAGACTTGACAACGCGGTTCACGTACGCGTGGATCTTCATGTTTTCGTCAGGTAACTTCCGCTTCTTTTGATGGGGCTCAATTGAGCTGTCGAGCTCAACACAGACATCCAGAGCTTCCGCCAGCGGAATGTCGGTAGGGGCGTTCAAGTTTTCACCGTGGGTAGCTGCGAGATGAGGGTGCTCAAGCAACTGCACACAAGGGGCGTCTTGCATCACCAACGCCATAGCAATAGCATACAGTGGACACGTAATGATGCTGTCTCTGTCCGGAAAGAGCGAAATTCCCTGCTCTTCTGCTGTCTTCACACGAATTAATCTTACAACACCACTAACAGACAAACTTCCCTTGAGCACGAAGCCTAGATACGACGCACGGCCAAACGCATACCATGTTAGTGCGAGTAGAGCTGCGTCTTGATAGTCTTTGGAACTGGACGCATCATAGTAAAGCCCATCCATGAGAATTCGTAGGTCCTCCTTCGTGCAAGCCGGTGCTTTCTTGATCATCCCCCCCCCCATCAACACACTTGAGGCAGTGCTGTTCAAGGGTTTGGCCCATCTTGAGTAGCTTCTTCTCTATTGTAGCTCTGTGCTTCGGGTACGTGTCAAGAAGCCAGTTCTTCATGGCGGTAGTAGCTCATGACTGAGTTCCTTGCAAGTGGTTTGCCTCCCCAACCCTCCAAAAATGCTAGGTGTACGCCGAAACGGTCCAGTAGCTTTAGGAAGACGGCACCACTTGCATCCGCGACCAGAGATGCCGCAAGGAAGTCCATGGAGACACCTTCGGCCGCAATGAAGCGATCGAAGGTGTTGATTGCCGTTTGGCGAGCGCGTTGAGAGTTTAAGG